CCAAAGATCAAAATATTGCAAAAGATATTTCAAATTTAATGGATATTATTTTGAAATTGAGAATTGGAACGAGTAAGGGAATGGATTTCTTCTCGCCCAATGTTTCGAATAGATCTTCGTCTAAACTGAATTTATTCAAAAAGAATAGAAATTCAACAACATTGGAACAGTTAGTGTTAACACCATCACAACCTCATATTTTCTCCTGTTCGAAAGTCACAAGTATGTCCCATAACCAGCTTTTCAAAAAGAAAAAGTCCATCAAGATGAAACTCAAAAACTTATTCTCTTTCTAACTGCAACCAATTACTCATTGTAATCAATTATTTACATTGATTATAATATGATTGGTAAACTTTCTAATGCAGCTCGTCCATTGAATCCAAAATCTTTTAAATTTGGCAAGTAGCAATTACATTCGAAAGAAGCGAACGTTTCAGCAGATCCATGGATCTCATACTCAAAAACTGAAAAAAAAAGCATGCATTTCTCACACTTATTCATCTGTTCTTTCTGCATATTACTCATCTTCATCTCCACAACTGTCTTCTCTCAGAATTGTTTCATTGAAAAGGATGGAATGATCATTGATTTTTCCAAAGCTGACAATGGCACCACTGGCCACAAAATTATTGACACTCTTCACTTGCCAGGAAATTATTACATGCTTAATTTGTGTAAGCCAGTAACTTCCACCAATGCCTCATGCTATGCCACCACCAATCAAGGACAATTTCAAATTGCTTTCATTGACAATTATTTTGATCGATGTTTTGGTATTGGAAAACCTGGACCCAGAATTTCACTTTTCGATCCTAAACATATTCAAAATGGAGTCATTGTTGAATTTGATATGTTTGTGAGTTTGGCAGGTGAATTACATGGAGCCAAATGTTTCCTGGTTTGTGATGAGGATTCAGAATTTAAGGGATTTTACATTGGAACGAGTAAAAAGACTTTTAAGAAGGAATTTACTCATGAATTTAAGATTGTTACACGATATGCGTGTCCAAGAAAGAAGGAGAATAATCGACCAGTGAAGATTTTATCCAAAAATTAATATTAAATATATTTATAAATATTAACTATTTAAATATTAAAATAATACAAAAAAAATGGCAACACAACAACATCGTCTTTCACCTTCCGATCGTGAACATCTACTCTCATGGGAAAATCATAATGATGATGGGAAACCATTGATCGGCATGGATGGAGGTTTTACCTACATTTCCATCATTGAACGTTTGCCAAAGATTCTTCAATCCATGATTGAATCCAACAAGGAGGAACAGTTACTACAACAACATCCCGAAATATTGCACAAGTTAAAAGCATTGGAAGAGGAATTAGTTGAAGGAGATGTTTGTACCAAGTTGAGAATTTCTCTAAAGGCTGATCAAGCTGTTGATGATGAGAATGTGAGGGCTGATTTGGAAAATTGGGCCAAATATGAAAAGATGTTTGGTGTTGAGGATAAAAATTGGTTGGAAATGACTTGGTTCTTCGTGGAGAATTACTTTTATAGATTGATTTTGGATATTACTGAATTTTGGAAAGCTGATTCACCATTGTTGAGATGGGATCCTTTCGGTAATCAAAAGAAAAAGTCTTTAGATGTTGTTTTTAACTCCAAGTCTGAAAAGACTGTCGCTCAACAATTTTGTGAGCTGTTGAGTGAATTGCCAACCGAAGGAGATAAGATATTGAGTCTTGTGAGAGAAAGTATTGTATTGAGTTTGTGGGGAAATCAAGCCGATTTAAGCTTGTCAACTGGACTTCAAAATCATACCGAAAAGTTTAAGAAGAGTTTAGAGGAAAATATCTTGTCAAATGATTTGACAGAGGTTGTTAAAATTTTGGACAATATCAAATTGAAGGAGAAGGGAACAAGACATTTGGCCATCATTCTTGATAATGTTGGTTTAGAACTTGTGAGTGACATGTTCATGGCTGATACCTTATTGAGATTGGACTTTATTGACAGTGTTACATTCTTTGGTAAATATCAACCAGTCTTTGTGAGTGATGTTACTGAAAGAGATTTCCAACAAACTATCTCACGATTCGTAGATCATGAAGGTATTATTGGTGAATATGGCAAGCGATTCTCTCAATATATTGATAATCAACAATGGAAATTCAAAAAGCATACCTTCTTTACTTCTCCACTCGAATATACCCAAATACCACAAGATTTGGCCAATGAATTGAGAAATGACTTTGAATTTATTTTCATCAAGGGAGATGCAAACTATAGAAGAACAATCAATGATGCCAAATTGCCAATCGAACAAGATTTTAATCAAACTTTGCAATATTTCCCTGCCAAGAATGGTATTTGCAGTTTGAGAACAATTAAGAGTTACTCACTGATTGGTATTAAGGATATGGAAAAGTTTAATAGCGTCAAGGAAACTGTCAGCAATTGGAGATATAGTGGCGATTATGGTCTTGTTTGTCTTTCATCCAGAAAGTAAACTACAAGCCCAATAATCTTTTTATGAGTTGAATATCTTTTTTCATCAATGTTACTCTACCTGCATGAAGAGCCTAAGAAGGATCATTAAGAAATTATTTTAATAATTTAGAAAAACTTACACACAAATAAGAGTCCTCAAGCAAATTTACAAGGTAATGTTCTGCAGCTTCTTGCAGAGCTAACAAGGCACTTCATAACTCATTATAGGATATTATAATAATTAGAAACTTACTCTGCACTGAATCTGAGAGGATCATCTTGTCTCTTAGAGTTTGCAATTTCTCTCACAAGCCTAACAAAATTAGCTTTAGGAATTAACAATTCGACTCCTTTCTGATACTTTTTGATTTCTCTCAAAGCTACTGTACCTTTCTTCCACTTTCGAGGCTTCTTCACAGGTTTCCCTCTGCAATTAATTGATTTCTTTGGGGCCTTCTGAGGAAATTGTTTGATAGATTTTCTAGGAGCCTTCTGAGCATATAATAACCTTGTCTTTAACCCGATCTGATTATTCTTTGGTTGAGTGACAATCTCTCCATGCCTTCTTGTTTCCAATGGTTCTTGCTGTTCTTCTTCTGCAATGGCTTGCTTTCCTTTCTCATCTTCTTGGTGCTGATCGGATACAGGGAATGAAGAAATCATTGAATTATTCTCACTCATATCCAAATCATCTTCGAATAATTCCTCAAAAGCCCTCTCCGAAACTTCATTCTCACCAAAAAACTCTACATCAAACCTTTCAAAGCCTTGCTCACCAAATTGTTGATCAGTTGTGCTCAACTGAGGTTCCCTCAAACACTCTTTCATCTTTTGAGCCATTTTTTCTGTATTGATTTTTTCAAAATTTTGGCGCCAAAAATTTATTAACTCTTTAATTAACAAAAACAAAAAAAATGATCAAAGCCTTCGGAATGAAATCCCACACAAAATTTAATGACTCTAAAGTGTGGACAGATGGGATTGAATACGAATGGGATGTTGTGGAAATTAGGCCTTTAATATTTCCTCATCCAGAAAATAATTTTTCTCCTTCCGAGATTGAAGCAAATGAATTAATACGAGTTTCGTATATTTGTTGTGGTGGAAGTAATCAAGCCCCTAATTATTCAATGTTTCTGTTTGAAGGAGAGGAGAGTGAATATTTTGTGATAATGGGAGAGAAAATGAAGTTTAGTTCACTGTTACCCGAGTTGAGCAACTGTAAAAGAGGTCAATTGATGAAGAGAGTTGTTTCAAATAATGCAAGATTCATATTATTTGAAATGATGGACGGATCTTTGTTTGAATTCGATACTCAAGCATTGAAAATGAACAAATTCTTTATCTCGCACAGTTCATTAATTCATTGTGTTGGAAGTGGAATCATGTCAACCTGTTGGTTAGTTCAGACAATTGATGGAACTATTTATGAAAAAGAAGTTGATACTGAAGCATTCGACATCGGATTCCCACTTCCTGATTACCAAGTGAAACAATTTTCTTGTTGCTCAAATGGTACAGCCCAATTCATTCTCTTAAAAAACAATAGATTGTTCATTAGAAATATTGGATTTGGATTTATGAACGAAGGAAACGCGTACCAAACGAAAGAGCTTAAATTATCGTTCACTTGTGAAATCAAAAAGATTGATACAGGATTTGCTCACATTGCTCTACTATTGGAAGATGGCCAAATATTCTGTCGAGGTCTAAATTCTAGTAATCAATGTGGATTATCGGTTGGAGCGTCTGGTCCAGTAAAAGAATTTCAACGTATTCAAATTGAGGGGCCATTCAAAGATGTGTACTGTACTAGTGTGTCAACTGGTGTAAAAACGGATACTCATTTTTGTATTGCTCAAATTCCACAAGAAGCAATTAATGATGAACAGGAAATTATTGTATGTGGTCCTTGGCATGGCTATATCTATAGAAAAACTTTCACAGTTGCTAAATCTCCAGAAGAAATATTTTTCTTTTCACTACTTAGACGTCAATTGAGTAATTCAACATTTTACGATCTTTCATTCATAACATTCTGAATTCGTAATGATCCAACACTCCAGTGAATTGAAAGGTTTTATAAATGGTTCAAGCTCTTCTTGACCAATAATCAAGCTCCATAACTGCTCCAGAAGAATTCCTCCCTAACTATTCTATATTGCTAATTGATTTATCAGTTACAATAAAAGGTAGTTTAGGATAGTTTCGTATTCCAAGTAACCTTTGAAATACTAATTACATTGATAGATACAAATGCTCATCGATAAATCCAAGAAAATATCGATCTCCACCAACAACGCATCCAAATATTCCCAGAGTAATTAAATTCAACAATCTATAAATTAAAATTCTTGTAAAATAGGAACATCCACTGATTGAATTGGACAGGGTCAAAACCTTTGGAGAATTCGCAACCAATGCTTGTAAAGATCCATTACTGTACACTGCAAATGATCCAACTCCACCAAATTTGGAATACTGAACTCGTTTTCTTATATACCATGCCTCAATGAATGGTCCAAGGAGGAATAAAGCGAAAACATTGATAACTTTCAAAAACCAATACAGCAATTCTGTATACAAACCACAATAAATACTAAACCATCTGAATGAGTTTTTTTCTGAAAAGTTTTGCCACACTACTTGTGATTCATATCTTCCATCATTTTCGATTGGTTTCCAATAAATTCTTTCATCAATTCTTGAAAGATAGAATCGATGATAGAGTCCAAGTGCTCTCCACAATCCAAACGTGTAAAAATTACAAAAATTATTTAAAAAGTGAATGAATGGGATGGTGCAACATGCGTCTGAAATATGCAAATCCAACCTTCTGTTTCCAACCCTCATTCTTCTTACATTGAATCTTGTCATTCTCAATATGAAACAACTGTCAAATATTCCACAACTAAGTTTTCTAAATGGCCAAAACAATAACCAAAATATTAAAATAGCACAATCTGTAAAATTGACATCGAATAGTCTATACCTGACACGAGTTTTCCATCCTGGATCAAGAGTAACCTGCGCAAGACGTGAATACTGTTGGTCAATTAGTTCACTCTCTTCACGAGGTCCTAAATTAGCCGAATGAAGGCAACATTTAAAAATCCACAAGGCACCACAACTCAAAATCATTGGCAGCACAAGACATACCAAAAACAGAATAAACACTGAAAGTACAATAATCACAATAACCAAATTACCATATGTCTGCCAAAAATTGCCATCTGTGGCGAATTGAAAAATTGATGCAGGAAGATGAATAATCTTTTCATTTTGGATTAAAGCATTAACTTGTTCTTCCAATGTAATTACAAGTGAATGACGATTCTTATAATGATTGTGAAGAAATGGTGTAGTTGACAATGTCAATGATGAAGAAATTGGTAAATTGACCATTGAACTTTGCGTTGCTGCTCCTGCTGTGAAAAGGGAAAAATTAAAGAGCGAAACCAAGAGTAGTACAGCAAGAAGCTGACAAGTTGTTTGTTTGGAGGCATTGTTTTTTTTTATTGGTTTAAATTGGTGGTTTTTACAATTCGAATACCTTTCAAGGTGACCACTTGCTTCTTTTGATTCCCATTTTAAAATATTAAATATTTGTGGGAAATATTGTGATGATCTTTGCAAGAGATGTAACAAGCTACAGTATAGCAACATACTAGCAATACCAATGTTGGTGGAATATGTGGTTTGTTATTCGAAATCGTTCGAAACTTTTCTCTTTCCGTTATTAAGTGTGTTAACTTGATTAAAATACAGTTTCCGTCAAAAATATTTCCGATTAAAAACCGAACACAGCATTGAATTATTTCTAATAAGTAATAGGAATTATTGTAACAAAATTCGAAACTAATTATTAATTTCACTTAGGACGAATCAAAACCTGTATTTTGAAGCTTTTACTGTAGACATTTTACAAAATTAGAGAACAGAAATCAGCAAACATTTCGGACTTTTCCTAATTAATAGCGGATAAAAAACATTGTAAACTAAAATCACCCCATGAACATGCAAAACGAATCACTGCCAAGGAACCAACCCTTCTACTCAACCAATTGAATTGCTTCCGAAACTCTTCAAAATCCCACAAACTCAGCTTTAGATTCCCGCTCTCAACAAACCAAAAAAAATAGAAAAACATCAAACTCTGGCTTACTGAGGTTTTTTTTCATCATTTTTCGGTAAAAGATAAATTGAGAAAAAACAGTTTAAACAATTATGGATGGATCAATGTCGGGTGGGTTGGATGGATCAACAACTCAGCAAGATGATCAGAATGTTGAATTGAAGGATCATCAGAATACAAATTCCATTGAAGATGATGATACTAATAAGAATAAGAATAATATTGGTGATGGTAATGATAATGGTAATGGTGGTAGTGATGGATATTATTGTGTGGTGAATGAGGAAGAATTGGGAGAAAAACAATTCTTGCAAAGTTATGAATTGAATGAAGAGAATTATGCAATGTTTAAAGCTGTGATTGATAATTTTGATCCAGATGATGGTCTGAAAGATCAGATGAAAGAAAAAAAGTTGAGAGTGGCTGATTTTACATTCGAGTTTGTGGAGAGAAGATTTAAAAAGTATCACGCTCAGGATAAATATGCCACTTATCATTATCGAGAAGGTTTAACAAATGTTGGAATTTTACTTGGCATGACGCTTTTAATTATTGGATTTTTATTGCTTTCTGCTTTGCCTATTTGGGCAATTGAAGGTGGAAATGAATATTTGGAGAGAATTCGAAATAACGGGTCGACCTTAGTTGAAAATGGTACTTTGGTGAGATTGGATAAGTGGACATATGGAAATTCTGTTTACTATTGTCTTGTGACATTTACTACAATTGGTTATGGTGATATGGCAGCTTCAACTCGTAAGTATTTCATAGTTTAAAGTTAGGGATGACAATTTTACAAAACAGCTGGTATGTATTAATTTTACATTTAATTCTTAACAGTTTGACAGGTGGCAGAATTTATATTGGTTTCTTTGGATTAATTGGTATTGCAATTATGGGTACCTTGCTTGTAACAGTAGGTAAAACCACTACAGGATTTGTAAAGAACATTCTCTTGTTAATTTCTATGGGAATTTACGCACTTGTTGGACTCATAAGGAAAACAGACGTGAAAATGAAGAAAACTGATTTGGTTTATAGAATTCTTTTCAGTTCATCAGTTCAATTAGGATACTATACATTTTTCTGGTTGGCCTATGCCTTTACTTGTGCTGCAATTATGATGGCACTCGAAGGATGGACTTATAATGAATCTGCGTGGTATGTCTTTGTGACCTTGGCAACAATTGGATATGGTGATTTCTATCCTACAACTCAAGGAGGCAAGATATTCTTCATGTTCTTTGCTATTATTGGACTTGGGTTTGAATCTATCATGATTGGATTAATTGCAGAAGTTATCGTCGATTGGATTCACAGCATTAAGAAAAAGTTCAATGTTTGGAAAAGAAAGAGGAAAGAAAACAAGAATAAAGCAGCAACACATTAAATGGATTAATTACCAAGAAGAGCTTGATAATTGCGAACAAGAAATTAGACATTACTAATGAGATATGATAATCTATAATTTCCATTATTACTTGTGGAAGGAATATTAAGATTAAAATGATAGAGTGATGTGCAAACTATCTATCATTCCAAATTAATTAAACCAACCTTCCGATTATTTAACTTTATTGTTCTCATCACAGGAGACAAATAATTTCTAATTTACTGATGCTACTACATCCAACAATTTCCGTTCGATAATAATTTTACGTGACTGTGTGACAATATAATTATTTTCTAGCAAAAGGATTCATCTCTCTCAAGATGGTTTTTAATTCAGTAAAAAAGTGTCCTCCGAAATCCTTCACCTTCCCTATATTTTCAGGTTTGGTCATGTTCACTTTTTGTGTTTCAGTCTTGTGGACAAATTCTTGAAATTTTTGATTTGCAGCCAATCTATTTGCTGCTTCCTTCTTCAGAACGGAAATGCCCATATTGATGAGCTTTTGCAAAAAGCTGTTATTGACTGGTATCATTTTTTTTAAATTGTGATTTACATTTGAATTTAAATTATTTACTTTTTATTTTATTTAATAATTAATTTTTGTTGGAGGAAATTATTCGAGGGCAAACAAGGCATCATTCTTTGAATCGGTTTCATCCAAATCATCCAAATCTTCTTCTGTTTCTTCTTCTTCATATTCTTCATATTCTTCATCATGTTCAAATGCAATTTCATATTCAAAATTAGCACTTCCAATCTTTTGATGTTTGAATTCTTCAAAACTACCAGCTAATGAGGAACTAGCACTTGTACCTTCCTTCTTTCTAATTGGAACTGATTTACCAGTACCAGCATTACTTGATGATCGTACACGGAAATCCTTATTAACACCACCCTTAATTTCCTTGAATTTATCAGCTGGAACTTCTGCGCCCATAACTTGAACAACTTCACGAGCATTCAAGCTACCTAAACGAGCACATTGTTCCATACTATATCCTTGAATATATCCATACAAAAAGCCAGCAGCAAACAAGTCACCAGCACCAGTTGTATCCAATGGGTGTAAAACAACTTCTTCCTCAGACAATTGGTGTCTATATTTTTCTCCTTTCCCTGATGTTTTACCTGATGTGGTTCCTTCCTTGACCCAACAACCATCCTTGCCCATCATTACAATAGCTACACGACAGAAACTTGCCAAATAATCAACAGCTCCTTCTGCATCCTCATATCCAAGTAATTCACGAGCTTCCTCAGAGTTACAAAAAACAATATCCACATAATTGGAAAGATATTCCAAAATCAATGGTTTAAATCCTCTAGCCAATTCAAAGCTTCCCAAATCGAAACTAATCATAGCACCAGCATTTTTAGCTAATTGAATAGCTCTCAATGTTAATGGTTGATTATAAATGGCATAACCTTCTACGTGTAATAATTTAATTCCTTGGAAATCACTTGGAACTAAATCATCAGCAGTCATTTCCAATGATGAACCCAAGAAGGCTCTCATGGTACGTTGGCCGTCAGGAGTAATAAGACAAATGACTTCTCCTGTTCTAGTAAGAGGTGACATAGACATGAGTGGGAATACGTGACGTTTAGTCAAGTGGTTTCTGTAAAGAACACCAAGTGGATCATTACCAATCTTTCCGACAAGAGCACATGATTCTCCCAATCCAGACATTCCCTTAATTGTATTACAACAAGAACCACCACTACAGATATAACCACGTGGATATTGACTCAAACTACGATGGAAATTAGCTGTCTTTGGTGAATATGCAGCAATCAAATGATTATTACTATCTTTTGTTGGTGTTCCATTTGGAATTTTAACTCCTGATTTCACGGAAGAGTTGGTAAACATATTATTTCCACTAGGAGATATATTTGGGTGATCTAAACAATGATTACAGTCATATTGAAGTAATTCTGAAAGTTTTTGTAAAAATGCTTCTAATTCTTGTTGAGTTTCAATGAGTTGTGAACCACCTTTTTCTTTAATACCGAGAGCTTGAAGAGTTTGTTCAGTGACAAAGAACATCTTGTCACTTTGATTTTAATAATGTTATTGTTGCCATTGTATAATAACATATCATGATATGGCATTGAAATAAACCACAAATTCATTCTACTACTTTGCAAAGTATTAATACTTACAGTAAAGGCTGTCCGAGACCCAAAACATTATATGGTTGTTTATGGGATGATGAAGCAATATTTGGAACGGTTGTCATTGTATGATGATGTAAATATTATTCGGGTTTAAAAGATGACGATATTATATTATGGAGAAAATGTACAATTCTTCTTAGCTTATCAAACTAGTAGCAGTATTAGTAGTCGAGTAGTTATATTAAATATATATAAAAAACAAAAAGATGTTGTCTTTTGGGGGTATGATGATGTAACGGCAAATAGACCAAAGGGGGAAATTCAAAAAAGAAGAACTAACTTCGTCTTCTACTGCCTCCGTGTGCTGCGTGAGAGAGAGTTGTGAGTGAGGATTTTTTTCGGACCAAAACAGCCATCACGATGTACAAATTAATTTCTCGTTTTCCTCAGAGAGGTGGGGACTTGAAAAGAGTTTGAGAAATTTGTTGAAGAGATTCTCTATGAATTTGTCGATTGAGATAAACAGTTTAATTTTCATTGTGATGTTACTACTGGAAGGTTGATGGTTTGTGAGGAGGGATTGTAGTGGAACATGAAGAGAAGTTTTTTATTATTAAGAGATATCAAGATTAGTTCAAATTATGCTACTGTGGTAAAGACTTGTTGAAAAAAATTGGTGCTTGTTTATTTCTTCATACCAATACTGAGCTTATTATACAAGTAGGTGCCAACCAAATCCTTCTTTGGTCTCTTGATTTGATGTTGTGTGAATGGCACGAGTTGTTGTTCACCTTTCAATGCACTACAACAGGCAAAGATAGCCCATGAAATTTCCATCAGGAATTCACGTTGGTCTTCACTTTGGTGAACAGTATTGCATGACATGAAATATTGAGCTACCAAATTACTAGTGTCTGGTCTGAGTTGTGACTTTTCTTCGAGAGAGATTTCTTCCACAATTGTTCCTCTACGAGAAGCATCCATAGAAGAGCTATCACCATCATCATCGAAGGAATCATCATAGTTGGTCTGGAGAGTCTTTTCCTTACGGAGTTTACCCATGACTTTTTGAGAGAGATTCTTCTTCTTTTTCTTATCATCATGTGAAAGATAGGTATGTGTTTCAGCTTCATCTCCATTAACTTTGGAACCGGATGATACTTTTTCTTCATCCATATAAACTGCCAGACCGTATGGTTTCTTCTTCTTATCCTTATTTGGAATAAATCTGGCACAATCCATCATGGCTACAGCACTCAGAGGATACATCTTGATATGCTTTTCATCAATATCCTTTGAGAATTTCATTGTATAGAATTTGGAATCAGTCAAGACGAAAACTCTCTCCTGTTTCAAACTCTTTCTATTAATCTTTGTAATCATCCACGCCTTGACAATTTTTTCATTGGATGCAAATTTCTTAAATCTAGCTTCCAATTGTTCAACTGATTTTTCAATCATGACTGATTGCTCAGAATTTGGTTTCCAATAACGAAGATCCTCATTTTGTAAAATTCTAATCAACTTGGAAACATCTCTCTTTTCCCAAATATGTGGATGAAGACATACACGTCTCAATTGTTCAATTTTATCCAAATCCGAATCACTAGCCAATGTATCAGGATTAATGTGTGACATTGAGGTAGAACTTCCAATCAAATCGTCATCATCCAAATGCTTAGGATCATAGACGTATGACATTCTTCTTAGTGGTGGCTTGGATTTTCCAGTTGTTAAATCATTAGGAGAGATTGGAGTGGTGGCTGAATTTGGAGAGCTCATAAATGTTTGTCTGGAGAGAGCACTTCTCTGTTGAGCATTTGGTGAAGAGCTCAAAATGACACTGCTACCTCTACTGAGTGGTGAAGTGGAGAGTTGAGGGCTTGATTTTGAAGCTACTCCTCCAATCCCACTTTGAATTGGCATGGATTTCATGGATTGATTGGTTTTTTGTTTTTGATTTGAAATACTACTTGTTTGTTTTTCCAATATTTGTTGATGAGTTTCCAACAATTCATCAAAACTCTCCTCAATATGTTCATAAAATGTACTCGATGCAAGTATTTCCTGAGTACTGGCATTAATCATATACAGTAAATGACCTTCATGTTCATCAGAGAGACCAACCATTGTTTCCTCTCCGAGTGTTTCCTCTTCAGATCCTTGATCTCCTCTCTTGAGTCCTCCTGCAAAAAAGTCAATACCTGTTGTTTGTTATTGTGATATGGTTTAGTTAGTGTGTTGTTATTATTATTATTTGTCAACCATTCATTGTCATCATTATAATCAAGAGAAGTAACAAGTAAATGGTGTCATTATCCACAATTGTGATTCAAATTGGAATAGTTGTTAAATGTTTGTGAATAGAATGTGTCAATGATGATATTTCAATATAGAGAGTAAAGGTATTAGAGACGAGGTTATTGTTGTTAAAAAATTCCATCAAATTTCACAATACCGATTTGTAAATTGTCATGCCAATAAAATCAGTGTTTCAACAATTTTGTTTCGAGAATCATGTGTTTTGCACAGCAATACATTATCAATAATAGACAACCACATTTTCACAGAATCATCAAATATAAATCATCAGAAAGACAATTCGCAATCATTGAATATATTAGATAAGCACAGCAACACTTACAAATAACATCTACCTGATCATTAAATATAGTTCTCTGTAATTTATCTTCGGAAATGTATCTCATCACACCTTTCCTCATATTTTCATATAAAGATGGTTCTTGTAATATTTGAATAGCATTCTCAGCAATGGAAAGACCATTAACAGGATATTCTCTGATTAAATCTCTAATACTAGACCAATTTACTATTAATTGGAGTGGAGGAAGTGTTGCTGAAGATGTAGATGGATTTGACGAAGTTGAATTGTTTGGAGAAATACTTCCTCTATCTCCTAATAATTGATTGAGTTTCTCTTGGTAGGGAATGAGAAAACGTTTTTGGATGATTTGTTCTGCTTGTTGCAGGATGGGTTCATAGTTATTGGAAGCATCATTAGAGGAGGTTGATTGTGTTGGCATTTATTTTTTAATGATTATTGGGTCATTATGTTTGACAAGTGACTCAATTAATACGATGTTATTGTCAGCCAAACAGTTATGTTAAACAAGCACAGCAGTTTAACAATGGATAATCTAAACCTGGCAACCCTGAACACAATTATCTTAGGTCAACAATATTTCCTACTCATTCTTCAAAATATTAATGAATTAATTCATGATTATCTGTTTGAAGCACAGCTTTCTCATTGTTCTTTATAAACAGTTCTGGTTGTTAATTTAGTTTGCTAATATTTGTTATCTCTTCCTTCAACTTTCGGAAGAACAATATTTCATCTAACAATAAACATGTTCTCAGGCAATGTTGAAAAATCTTTCACCTTAGGCAGCCAGCACTTATCTTCTAATTGGCTATTGCCAAGTGGCAAAATTTTCTAGTCGTTAGAATTGGGAGTTGGAAGCGGAGTCGTGTTGCATCAGCAAAGATTTATTTTTTAATAATTATCAGTTTTTAAAAAATGTCTTACACAGGAGTTTTGGGAGGTGATAGTAAATACTTTAAGGAATCGAATACAGCCAAGTTCGATGAGATTACCAAACAATTGGATTCTAATAATTTCAGAGACAAGTTGGTTGGTATGAAGAAGGTTATTGCTGTAAGTGAAGATTTTTTAGATGGTTTTTTTGATGATGGTGCTTTTGTGTGGATTTTTTGATGATGATTGTGGATAATATGATAATTTGACTGATGACTAATTGTACTTTATCGTTTTGGATCTTGTTATTGATGATCTTGGTGATATTTATATATCGTGTTAACAACAATATATAATTTAATTGTTCATCAAACAACAACAATTTAAATAATAATTAAAATATATAGATGGCTTCATCAGGCAAGGAAGTCGAACCTCTCTTCCCATACGTTGTCAAGAATTGTATTACAAAGAATGTTGAATTGAAAAAGTTAGTGTACATGTATCTTGTTCACTTTGCTGAACAAAAACAAGAAGAAGCATTGCTTTCAATTAACAACTTCCAAAAGGATCTTGATGATAAGAATCAATTCTTGAGAGCTTTGGCTTTGAGAGTCATGTCCAGTTTGAACGTACAAGATATTACCACAGTTATTCTTGTCGGAATCAAAAAGTGTCTCCATGATATGAGTCCATATGTTAGAAAGGCTGCTGCTCTTGGTATTATTAAAGTATTTAGACAATCTCCTGAAGAATTGGCTGTTGAATGTGCCGAACTAATTGGAGAATTGTTAAAGGATAATAACACAATGGTTTTGGGAGCTGCTGTTCACGCTTTCAATGAAGTTTGTCCAACAAATTATGAATTGATTCACCCTGTATTTAGAAAGTTATGTAGATATTTGGTTGATTGTGATGAATGGGGACAATGTTCTATTATGCAAATGTTGTTGAGATATGGTCGTACTCATTTCCAATCACCATTCAAGGGAGAAACTTATAAGAAACGTGCTTTCTATGATGACGAAGATGATGAAGAAGGAGATCATGATGGAAACAAGGAAATTTTCGATGATGGATATGAACCAGGAGCAGAAATGGAACTTGATCAAGATCACAGATTATTACTCAGATCTACTGCACCACTTTTAAGAACTAGAAACTCTGCAGTTGTTTTAATGGTTGTTAATTTACATTTCTACTTGTCACCAAGACAAGAATTTTCATTGAAATGTGTTACTCCACTTTTGAGAATTTTGAGATCATATCGTGAAAATGCTTACATTGTTTTAATGTCAGTTTCAACAATTGCTAGAGAAAGACCAGAAGTTTTTGGTAACCATTTGAAGGATTTCTTTATTTATGCTAGTGATCCAGCCTATGTAAGAAATTTGAAATTGGAAATTTTGTCACTTCTTGCCACAGACGAAACTGTTCATAGTATTTTGAAGGAATTTAGAACATATGTTAAATTCCCAGAACAAGATTTTGTTAATAATACTATCAAAGCTATGGGCAGAGTTGCTTCAAAGATTCCAGAAGTTGTTGAATCTTGTATTGGAACTCTCATGAATTTGATTACCAAAGGTTCTGAACACATTGTTGCTGAATCTATTATTGCTATTCACCAATTGCTTCAACAAAACCCAGAAGATAACAAGAAGATTATTCTTCAAATGGCTATTCTTTTGGATGATATTAAGGTTCCAATTGCTAGAGCAAGTATTGCTTATATGATTGGTGAATATATTGAATATCTTCCATCAGGAGGTGTTGGTATTGGTGTTGCTGCTGATGCTCTTCGTATTTTAGCTAAAGACTTTGTTAAAGAAGATGACTTGGTTAAATTGCAAGCATTGAATTTGAGTACAAAACTTTATTTGAGTTTAGAAAGTACTGGAGATAAGAAATCAGAACAAATTAACATGTTAATTCAATACGTATTGAATTTGGCTCGTTACGATCAAAGTTACGATGTTCGTGATCGTGCCAGATTTATGAGAAATATCTTGTTTAATCCAAAGGGAACAACAAGTACACTTCATGAAAAGTCGGACGAAATCTTTGGGTCATCAGGAAAGAAGAATTCTGTTTCTCTTAACAGTAAATTCGTTGAAGATCGTGCTAGATTCTTATTGGGTTCATTATCACACATACTCAACCACTCAACATCAGGATACACTCCTCTGCCCGATTTCCCAGTTGAAACACTCAACTATGAGGAAAGAAATGTCGTGGCTGCTACTGATGGTCAAGCTGATGTTGGTGCTATTGGAGAAACATCTTCTGAACTTTTCACTGGAGATATTGATGATTTCTATGGAGAAGAAGAAGAGGAAGAAAGTGAAGAATACGAGTCCGAAGAAGAGGAAGAAGAAGGTGACGATGATAATATCGACAACTTCTATGACAGTGAAGAGGAAGAAGAGGAAGAGGAGGAAGAAGAAGAAGAGGAAGAGGGTGAAGAACTTGAAGGTGAAGAGGAAGAGGAAGAGGAAGAAGAGGAGGAAGAAGAAGAAGAAGAGGAGGAAGAGGAAGAAGAGGAAGAAGAATTCTTACCACCACCAAAGAAGGCCTCTACTTCTAATTTGCTCAAATTCTAAACTTGTAACTATTTTGTAAATTCTCTGTGATATTAAATTGTACCAAACAATAATTATTATTATTTAACAACACTGAGACTTTCTTTTGCAAATGGCTCCATAATCTCAAAGATTCAATCACATTCTGGATAAAATCATTTCCCTCCAAATTTTAAATCAAAAAAAAATTAATTTATTTTACCATCATGCAAGCCCTTGAGAGAAATCTCTCTGATCTTCACATTGTGTTGCAAGATGGAGAAAAGTCAATGGCTCTATTGAACCCAATATCGATCATATCAGATATGAATGATTTTGTTAGTAGATTATCACCCGATGACATTGGTCTGTGTTCGAGTGTTTTATTTCATGAGGAAAAGGGTATATTTGCCTATGTTCATCAATCAATAACACTCTATCCAAGCACACAAGGTAACAAGACAATGACATTGAGTAGGAAGGCCATCTTTGATTTTCTTTTAAATTATATCAAGATTGCTCGGGAGAGAATTTTAGAACAGGCTCTCATCATTAAACGGTGGTGTGTCAATGTTTTTAGACGTGAAAGTTCGAACCAAGTTAGATTATCAACAATAGCACCACTGATTAAATTATTAATTATTTTGATGGAAAATGGATCAAGTTTAATCAAATCATCTTCATCGTCATCTTTAACAACAGCTGCTAACCAACAACAACAGGAAGGTGATTTGATGGAGGATGATAATAACAATAATAATGAAACAACAATAACAAGATCACCAGCCGAATCCGAAACAAGTTTAAACATCAAGGAAGTATTTCAAGTTTATTTCAAAGAGTTTCAAAGAATGACAAATAGTGGAAATCAATCTGTAAAAGGAGCAATTTTGCATTTGTTAGGTGTATTGTGTGAGTACTTCCCAGGAGAAACTCACATGTATCAACAACAAATGTTATCACTCTTGATGAATACATTATTGAATCAATCAAAAAAGGCTAAACCAGAACCACAACTTATTGCATCAACATTTAGAGGGCTTTCTCATTTCTTGTCACAATTTGGTGGCTCTGTAGAGGAAGGATCATCATATATTAAACCACTTTATCAATTAATTTGTACAAGTTTGGAACTTGTCAATGAAACAAGATATGATGTACCTAAAGCAGCTCTAATTATGATTTCAAAACATGCTTATCAATTTAAGGAATATCTCACTGTTGATGCTGAAAAGATGTTTGACAGATTGTCAACTCTATGTTCTCACAGAAATGACAAGGTTAGAAAGAATTCATTTCCAGCACTTGAAAGCTTTTTAGCTCAAATTTCCTATGAACTTGTACGTGAAGGAGGGAGAAAATTAGAATCCAACTTGAGGACATTTAAAAATCTGATGCAAAAATTCAAATCTTTATTATCACTCAATTTTGCAGATATTACAATGACTCAAGGAAGTGGAACTTCCTCACCTCCAACTACCAATCCAACCTTTAACAAATACTACCTAAGCATTGCTATTAGAAGTTTTGGACAATTTGCATTACCAATGAAAAAATTCCTAACTCAAAGTGATACTAAGATGATTTTGAGACAACTAATGAAATTGAGTGATCAATTATTAACTAGAAGTCAAGAACAATTAGAAGAATCAGTTTCTCATATTCCTTCATTTTTGTCTGCTTTTGCAAATATTATTTTGGAATTGGATACTATTGATTCTTGGATTTTAGATTCATTAGAAAAGATTTCTGGTATTCTCTTTTTAGTTTACCCTAAGCAATATTTATTCCCAAAGTATAGGTATGCCAACTATAGTGCATTTGTAAAATTATTAATTGCTTTGTATTTGAAGGAAAGAGCACTGTCCAGCTTTTTGGATAGAATTATTTTCCAAAGTATGACCTTGACAATATCCTCTGTAAATAGTATGGTTTCCACTAATGATGTGAATTTGGATATGGATCAACCAGTTTCTCTCTATGAAGAATATTTGGACTTGTGGTATAATATTTTGAATCCAAAGACTATCAAATTGGGAGAATGGAACTATCCTTGGATTGATTTATCTTTTTCTGAGGAAGTAATTGAACATTTACATTCTCTTGTTTATGACAAGATTATAGAAGTAATTATGCAAATGATTTCTAAATTTGATCTAAGATGTACAAATGTTAATAATATTAGTAACCAAGCTGGTTCTACTCCAGTTGAGGTTTCTGCTGAAATGATTCAAGATGCTCTCATACCATCCAATGCTAAAGATATGGAACTTTTCTTAAATTTGATCGAATTCACCAAGCTATTCATGAAAAAGTGCAAACCAAAACACTTTATTAGATGGAACTATATATTTTCAAAACTTTTAATTGAAAAGTCTACTCAATATTCATATATTAGTGGTTTTTATAAACTACTCTCAGTTGCTATGAGGATTAGTGACAGGTATGAATACTTTGAGGATATTAACGAGAAGAGCATTTTCACAAAGGATAGAATAATCAAACAAGAATCACAATCCATGTTAGATGATACTCCAATAGAAGAGGAGCAAGTCGAGATGATGAAGTTTTAATAAGAAAGCTCTTCACAGTAGACTATAATACTAGAGTCACTTGTTTCCAATACTTACTCAAATTTGTAAAAGAAAATGTGATTCAGAGACTTCATGAATTTAAAGGAGATTTACTCACCAGTTGTATCAAATTTGTACTTTCAATGCCAAGGAATTTCATTGATTTGAGATACTTTGTACATCCACTTCAGCTCTCATTCGAACTAGGTCTTAGCTATTTGCCTCTTGCTGATATTGGCCTAAAAGCACTAGAGCATTGGATTAAAGTTTTGCCAAAGAAGGAAATTACAGAGAAATGTTTACCAAAGGTCTTACCAAAGTTGAATCCATATCTTATGGTTAAACATAACTCTTCTGTTGGTATTGGAGAGGAGAATTCTGGAGCTGATTCTGATGTAGTGGATGTGAAGAAATTATTAAAAGGACAAACAAAGAACTCTATAAGAAAGATTAATGATGACAAGTCTAAATCACAAAACAAGTCATCTTCTGATCAAACTCCACTTGGAAAAGTACAATTGGGAGTTATCAGATTACTGGGTAAAATTGGTGGTGATAATATTCTTATCTTGAACTCTGCCTCTGAGAAAGAAGCTGATGAAAATATCATTAGATGGGACACTGAGCAAAGGGTTAAGTTTTCAATGCCATTCCGTGATGTTAAATTAGAGCTGTACTTTGATTCCATTCTCCCAAGAATTACTGAATTGGCTGAAAAGTCTAGTGATCGTCAAACAAAGATTGCGGCTTGTGAGTTCTTGCACTCTCTTGTCCTGTACATGGTTGGTAAGAATGCTTACAGTCCACAAGCAAGACAAAGAGCACAAGAAATCCAATTAAAGCAGGCAGAAGAAGACGAAAAGAGGAAAAAACAAGATAATAATACCAATGATGAAGATGCCACTACCATTGTTGTTTCCACTGATCCAACACCATACTTTAAGATTTACGAAAAGATCTTCCCTGTTCTTTTAAGATTATCTGTGGATACTGAACAAGTGACTAAACAATTGTTCGAACCTTTAATATTCCAATTAGTCCATTGGCTTACCCAAAACATGCAATATGAAAATAAGGAAACAATGGCTCTCCTCGATGCTATTATTGACTCCATGTCAGAGACTACTGATGGTGCCTTGAGAGATCAATGCTCATTACTTTTGAATGAATTCCTCAAGTGGTCTGTTAAACATGATAAGGATGGCAAATTTATTAATGTCAAGTCTCTTTTCCAAAGATTGTACAGTAACATTCACCATCCTAATTTGTTTAAACGTTTGGGTGCCATTATGGCTTTCAATAGTATGTACAAGAGTTTCAGAGAAGTGGATTCACTTGTCCAGAGACACGTTTTAGATTGGTTACACAATGTTATTGTGAGTTTAAAGATTGTAGATAACGAGGCATCTTCATTAGACCAGAAAAGTTCAGAAAATTCTCTAGGTTTAGTAGAAAAGACTATTCAACTCATAGATCACATTGAAAGAATTATTGTTGCCAAATCACATTTATTAATCAAGGAAAACGATAGAAGAATACATGTTACACTTGCACATGCAGTTGATTGGATATTTATGCAATGTGGCAATGGAGAACGAATTTGTCGTGAGCAATGTATGAAGCTATTCCCAACATTATGTATGCTCCTTCCTGGTTTTGATTCAGATGATGGTCCAAGAAGATGGATCCATGCTAAATTCAAGGCTGATGAGTCCAGTGTACTTAAGGTTGTTGATGTTCCTTCCTCTTTAATTCCTTCTTATTCATCTTCTATTAAGGTCAAATCAGAGAAAGAGGAAAAGAAGAATGTGAAGAATACTTTGACAACTGCTACAGATATTTCATACTTTGAACAAGTTATGATTTGGTTACAAAAGCTAGAAGCATCATTTGACTGTTTGTATTGGCTCTTCAATCACAAATTCCTCTACCCTCACCAATTGTTCAACTTGGAAAAGGAACACGATGAAATTGAGAGCGAGAACAAGAGATCAAGTTCCTCTGGTGGTAGACTTGCCAATTATAAGAAGAGAAAAGTTGAGAGTACCTCTGATCCAATGTTGGATGAGGACGAAGATGTGAAAGGTAAAGATGACGGAGAAGAGGAATATGTCTCCTCTTATTCTTGTTCCATCATGAGTCATATCTATCACTTTATTGAGAAATTTGCTTTGAAGAAGCCAAGTGATTGTTTCCTGATTATTAATACATTGGATAGTGAAAAGTTTGTCAACAGAAAGACATCTACAACCTTCAGATTACTTAACTTTATTGGTCTTATCCTCGACAAGTATCCAAGTACATTGACTGGACAAAAGGTGAATGGAAATGAAAGCATTATGGAAACTGACAAGTTTATCAAGTTGCTCATAATGTGCATTTTAGCTCCAGGAAAACAAGGCTTCAATACAAACAATGAAGATGTACAAACAATACTTCCAAGATATACTAGAAAGATTTTCGAAGGTATTACAAATTATGCCAAACAATCCAAGTCTATTGGACAAACTGTTATGACCAGAACTAGGAAAATTTTGAATGAAATTCTTGGATTGTATGTCCAGAGGTATATTACTGGATTGGATTTCAAGAAGTCTTCCAGGATGAACATGGATGACTATACTTTCTTATTTAGAGGTATTAGGTTATTAAGTAGATTGGAATTTATTGATGACTCTTCATTCCTTCCAAATTATTCTTCTAGAAAAGTATTTGCTAATGTTATTTCAAATAAGTTATTCACTGAAAATTTCGATTCTCTTATGGGACCAGTCAATGTCATTATATCAAAGGAGTTGTTGCAATTATGCTTTGATTTTGGATTGGGCCGAAAGTATTTTGAACTATGTTACTACATCTGATCCTACCTCATCAGGTGAGAGTGTACTTTCAAAGAAGTTATCACAAATTGATAATTCTTATCAAGTAGCAGGTGATGAAGGAGACAGATCAAGAAATGCAATTCACAGAGTAAAACCAAGTACAAAAGGCGCCCTTTTCTACAAAACATTCCAGTCAGAAATTGATAACTATATTTCTGAACATATGGACCAATTTGCCAGGTTGATTATAGGCAGAATAGCAAGCATTTCTAATTCCAACAAACGTGACCAAGAAAACGAGTTTAACCATCACTTTTTATTTGACGTCTTGTTGAGTGTAAGCTTAAAGTTTATGAGGTTATCCCTATCTAAAAAGGAGAAAAAGACAATGTTTGTTATTCAAATATTGGATTGCTCACAACCAGTATTGGAAAAATGTGGAGGAAATATTGATGATGACTTTAAACTTAAAACTATGTCCCTAATTGAAAGATTGTTCAACATTGAGTCTTCATGCATCCTCCAACATGGTGTCTATCAAAATGCTATCATTGACTTCTTACTTGCTTGTTTGAGAATCAAGAGAGATGATGCTACATCAAGAAATGATAACGATGAAGCTACCTTTGGTCTCTTTGACTTAAAGTTGAGAGCTATTAGAATTTTACCTATTTTATTTAAACATTCAGCTGCTCAACCTGAAACACAAGGAAAATTACCTGAGGAACTTAATTCGATCCTTAGACAAGTCAAGTCTATTGTTATTAATGAGTTCCCACTCAATTATGAAGAAATAGAGCCAGAGACTAGTGAATATGATGATCACATTTCCTTGCTTGAAGACTTGCTCTATGCTGTTCAATCTTCTGATAGTGTTGACTTTTTAGAACAGGTATTACCTCTTTTCAGATGGAAGAACCATCCACTCCAAGAAAAGATGACCAATGCCTTAAAGGTGTTGTTTGGAAAATTCACTGATGAAAAGCGGTTAAAGTCTGCCAATATTTGTTTAGAAACATTCTATAAGGAAAGTTTGCCAATAGATATTAGAAGACAAATCATACAGTGGGTATGTCTCACTTGTTTGACTCATATGCCTGAAAGAGGTCTTGTACAATTCTTTGAAGACAATATTCAGAAATTAATGAAGTCTATTGCTAAACCAACTGCTCTCAGCGAAACTATATCTAATCCAAATATTGAAGAATTGGAAGCTGATTCTGTTCGTGCTCTATTTGTAACTAGAACATGTTGTTATAATTTATTGGAAGCAATGTATCGTTTATTGCCTGCTTCTGCTGTAAAGGAATATATTAACAACAAGTATTGTGAAAAGCAATCATCCGGTAGTGGTCAATTAACTGGCAAGGAACTCACAGAAAAGGTTATGAGATCAAGCTTTGCTGCTCGTTCCTGGAAACCATCTGACCAAGAGTACAAGGTTTTGGGTTATGAATTATTGTTGGACTTTAGAACAAGTGCCTTTAATGTATTGGCTGGTGGTGTAAAATGTACCCAAACACAAGAAAAGTTCTACACTGGTTTCCTTTTCAAAGAAAAAGAAGAAGATTTGTGGGAAAATATTATCGATACCAATCGTGAATATAAGTTTGAAATTGAAACGAACTTTGCCTTCCATAGAAAAGCTGTTGATGAACTTAGAATTGACTCTAATCAGCCAACTTCTGATAATGGTAAAAGAAAAGCTGGTGAATTGAGAATTGGCTATCTCTCTTCACAATATTTATCGGATAGTTCACTCTCCTCAAGCATGCCATTTGCAGGAAGCTTTTTCATTCCTGGTTCCAAATATTCTGAGGAAGTAACCAAATCATCTGAAGATGAATCTAAGGAAAGTGAAAAGACACCAAATGTTGATAACAGTTCTACTCTAGAAATGGATGAAGTGAACACTAATCCATGTATGGCTTCAATTTTGAGAACTGTTGACCATATGGTTTCCATATTCAAATATCCTGTTGGTTCTGATAAGGCAGCAGCAAACTCTGCAATGCCTTCCTGGATGGCTGAAATGCACAAAAAGTTAAATAATGACGAAACTCACAGAAATATCAAGCTCTTCCTCTGCAAGATTATCACAAATAGACCAACTATATTTGAACCATTTTCCAAGTATTTCTTCGAGCCAATTATTAAATTTATTATGAAGGAAGAGGATGACCAAAAGAAGAATGAAGATCTTTCCTCTAAGGGTATCACCTATTTCATTAGAGATTTAATAATTTTACTCTTAAAGTGGAAGGATGTTTCACCAAGTAAATCCACTCAAGGAAAGGAACTAGTTTCTAGACTACTTGCTTTCATGTTTAAGAATTGTGCTCATCAAAAGAAGGTAGTACTCAGATCCAACTTGGAACTTGTCAAACTTATTGTTGAAAAGTGGAAGGATAGTTTAACTATTAACAAGTCAATCATTCTTGGTTGGATTTGTCACGATGAAAACAAGTCTACAGCCAAGCTTGCCAGAACGACTGGTCTTCAACTTTTGGGTATCTTGTTGGCTAATGATATTCCTGTTTTTGATGCAACAACAGACTCAACCATTATCACAGAGGAAAAGTTCTATGAAAAGATTTTGGAAAATATATCATTCAAAAACAAGGATGTCTATGAGGCTGCTTCTGAAATTTGTGGTATGATTCTCAAGAGTCTTTCAAAACTTGCCAATACCAACGAAAGTGTTGTCACATTCGAAAGATTATTGCTTGCAACTTGTTCTTCATTCTTACAAAAAATGCAATATGACAGATTCTTGAATTGTCTCTACAAGATTGGTATCCATGATACTGCATTCATTGATCACTTCTTGCCTTCCAAGATATTGGACATTTTACCAAACTTGTATGGTGTTTATAAGAAGATTGCTCTCCAACTTATTACATGGAGAGCAGAATTTGTTCCAGATTTGTACACTTCTTTGAAACCATTCTTGAGACAAAACCTTCAACACAAGGACGAACCAACTCAATTGCTTACTCTTCAAATCATTTATCAATTGTTAAAGACCATTAACAAATCTGATATAATGCACTTTATGGAAATTATGACTCAATACATCAATACTAGTGATGTTCAAATGTTTAGTACCTTCTCCGAACCATGTCGTGAAAAGTACTATGATATTTTGATTTGGCTTTTCGATAACAAACCTACAGAGTTCAGAGGAGAAGAAGTCATTAGAACTGAGCTTATCAAGGCTATGAATGACATTTCAGAGGATATTAGAAAGAAGATGCTCCACTTTTGGGATCATGAATCTAGACTTTCCAATGAAAGTTTGAAACGTTTGGAACAAACATTCTCCTTGCTTTACTCTAATAATCTTGGAGACAAGTGGCTTCAATTCAGTTCTTACTTGTTGCTACAATTATTGCACCGTTCTCCAGACTTTTCTGATGCCAATGCCATTTTCTCTGAAAGTTTGTCTAATTGTGTTTTCAAGGAATACAAGATTGATACAAGTTGGCAACACAAGAGTTTACCTCTCACAGCCACCTCGATTGTTCTCAGCTCTCAAGGAGGCAGAAAAGGTTCAAGTTCATTGCAAAGCTATGCTTCACTTCCATATGAATCTTTAGCTCTTGAAGATCCTTACAATACTATGAGCTTATCTCAATCTGGTGGTCTAATCCACAACTTCCTGCCTTTGGTATGGTAAAAGCTACTCAGACTCCTCAATTCACACCAACAATGTACTCTGAGACATTGAAAGATATTTTGTCTGCACCAAGTTTGAGTCAAACTTCTTTATTATTCACTCCTTTCAAGACAGTTTCTAATAATAGTAATAGTACTAGTAGTGGAAATGAACAACAAGGTACCTCATCTACAAGTGGTGGAGAAGGTTCTTCATCTGACGATTTCCAAACACCATATCTCAGAAGAAGATTCTTGAAACTGAAAGAAACAACCATGACACAATATCAAGCAAGAAGAGCTGTACGTATCAAGAAGGAAAAAGAAGCTTGGGAAACACGTCAAAAGATTGCCAAGAAGAATAGAATTACCATGTACAGAAAGTACAGAACAGGAGAATTGCCTGACATTCAAATTTCTTTGAAGGAAATTATTACACCTCTGCAAGCATTGTGTATTTATGATGTATCATTGGCTAGACACTTGTTTGTGTCAGTATTTACTTCACTCTATCCTAACATGGAAAAACTCTCAGAAAAACAATCAGAACCACTCAAGCATAGCATTCACACAAACTTGCAACAAATGTTGAAGAAATCACCAGATAGTTCCCTTCTGGTTTCTGCATTGCTTTCTGTTATTTTGGATACTGAAGATCTTCAACAACCTAAGAACAATATTCTCACTCCTAAACTTATTCGCTCGGTCAGTATGCAGAGCCACAATGTTGAATTGGGTATTTTATTGTTGGAACATCTCATTGAAAATAATCTTATTGAGACTACAGCCATGGAAGATGAGAACATTGCTGGACAAGATGATATGAGACCTTACATAGATGCTTGGATAGAACTTGGTAAATTGTACAAGGCCATTGATGAACAAGATGTTATTCGTTCCATTTTCGAATACCATGTAGCCCAACAAGAAAATACCAAAAAGGCACTTTCAGATGAACTCGATGGCAGATATAATAGTGCTTTGAAGATATACAGTCAAGGTGTAGATCAATGGGATTCTGGTTGGCAAACTCACGACACACCTCCAATTGAAGAGGAAGTTGAATTTTGGAGAACACAAAAATTGGAATGTCTCAAGAAGATGAATTCTTGGGACTTGGTCTTGCAAGAAGTTCTTTCCGAAGTGCAAAAGAGAACCAAGTCTGAATCTGAACAACTTCTCAATCAAAAGATTTGGGAGGCATCAGAATTGAACGAAAATTTACTTTCCTTGTATTTGGATAGTAATCTCAAACAAAAGGACAAATGGTCATCTCTCAAGACATTTATTGAAGAATCCATGTCATCAAATGTAAAGAGAGAAATTTTAGAAACCAAGTATAGCAACAAATTGGCAAACTTGTCCTTATTCACACATCAATATGAAAAGGCCAAGTCCTATGTTGTAGATAGTTATGCCGAATTCTTAATGTCTTGGAGTACTTTATCACCACTTGCCAAGACTGGAAGACATCTTCATCTCCAAAGACTTCAACCTCTTGTAGAAATGGAAGAATTTATTCAATTATGGCAAAACCAATCAGATGCTAAATCAAAGAATCTTATTAGAATGTTGAAGGATTGGAGATCAAGATATCCAAGTTCCTACATTGATGATATGAATACTTGGGACAATGTAATTTCCAACAGAAACTTTATGTATGATTTGATTTCACAAAACTTGGAGAACTTTACTGAAAAGGATACCTCTTCGAGTGTATTATTACCTTCTTCTAGGCCAAAGCTTCGTCCACTCACTAGTAGTTTGATTGGAGAGTCACCAAGTCTTACTCTCAGTCTTTCAGAACAAGAGGATTATCAAGCACTTGCTGGTGGTCTTTCAAATATTGCTAGTGGCACATTAGATTTGGATACCTTGTCAAAGACAGTTACAAGAGAGAAGGCCGTCATGTTCTTGACAGTCACCAAAGCAGCTAGAAAGCAAAAGAACAATACTGTTGCTCAAAGCTATCTCAAAGTTGCTCAAGCTGCAAGCAAAAAGCTCTTGGAAGTAACTAATAGTGCCGATTCATCTGATGCTCTTTCATTCGACTTTGAATTTTTCAAATCCCTTGTTAAATTGTTAAAGATCAAGGCTCTCACATCTGGCAGAGGTTCAAGCAGTGAGACCAAAGATGTTTTCGACAAGCTCATCAAGTTTATCAAACAAAACGCCACTAAGTATGGAAAGGAAGTCAATGATGCCAGTCAAACAGTACCAACAAGTTATGTACTCACTTACAAGCTTTTGGATGCTGATGCCAATTCTTCATTTGCTAATACTTTGAGAGAAAATACCAAACTTGGAGGCAATCCTGAAGATTACTTGCAAACAGCCCTCAATAGATACAAGGAATCTGTAGAAATAGTTAATAAGAATACTAATGACGATAGCAATGTCGTTATCAAAATTGAAGACGGAAACAATACTATTTCTCCATATCAATCTGCCAAGATTTATCTCAAGTTTGCCATCTTTTGTGATGAAATTTTGAAAGAACGTCTTGGTCAAAAATATACTGATGATGAAGATTTAGTTATTACCAGAGAAGGGTCTTCAAAATTACCATCCAATGATATTCTTGCTGAGCATATTGTTGAAAATATGTTGAACAGTATGAAGTATTACAATAAGGAAGCTAGAGATAGATTCCCTAGATTGTTGGAATTGATTGAAAAATTCCCATCCACCAGAAAGATCTTTGCCAAATTTGCTCCAACATCAACCTCTTTACAAATTCCAAGTTGGATGTTTATTACATGGATCTCACAAATGTTGGCCCATTTGACTGGACCAGAAGGTGAATGTTTAATTCCAATCCTCTTGTCTCTTGCCGAGAATTATCCACAATCTCTCTACTATCCACTCAATATCAGCTCTGAAGATATTATTGGTTCCTTTGAAAGAGGTAATACAGGTATAACACGTAAAGTTCTTGAAGGTATCAAATTAATGAAACAAAAGGTTAGAAATCCTCTCATTGAAACATTTATCTTCTCACTGAAGAAACTTAACCATCCTGAACTTAGATTCAAAGCTTACATGGATGATATTAAAGAAATTATGAAATCAAAGAATTACAAATCGGAAAAGGAAAGAAAGAGGGATATCAAATCCAAGTGGGAAGAGGCATTCGATGACTTGTTCGATCCAAATGCACCAAATGTTGGTGTCTACAATACCAGATTTGCCAAGAACTGGGTTCCACAAATTAAGAAAGATTTTGGTGGTAGAGATGGTGCCAAAGTGATGGAAATGACAGACAAGACATTCGAGCAACTTTATGCTGTCAAATTTAAAAAGATGAAGGAAACCAAGGGTGCTATGATACCTGGTAAGACCAAGTTGGAATACTTCTCCAAGTGGATGTTTGACTTCCATCAATCTTCCACAAGAGGTAGTAATGAAACCATCTCATCCTCTAGTGATGTTGTTGAGAATGGAGGAAACTTTTATATTGAAGTTCCTGGTCAGTATATTAATAACGTTGGCAAGGCAGCAGCTGCACTCATGTTGGGCAGTGTTGGAATGTCAAGTAAGCAAAACAATATGCAAGCTCCAAGTATTGATGAGCATGTGAGAATTATCAGCTTTGATCCAAACTTGTTAACCATGTCTTCTATGAGAAAGCCAAAGAGGTTGAAGATTCACGGTTCAGATGAGAAGGACTATGCTTTCCTTGTTAAGGGTGGTGAAGATTTACGTCAAGATCAAAGAATTCAACAATTGTTCCATGTCATGAACAATATTCTCGACAAAGATACCAACTGTAAACAAAGAGATTTGAACATTAGAATGTACAAGGTTGTTCCAATGAGTTCTGAAGTTGGTATTATTGAATGGGTTGACAATACCATGCCACTCAAAGCAATTATTGAAGAACAATTGAATAAGCAAACTGGAACTCATGACCAAGAAGTATTGAAACATCCATCTGCATCTATCCATCTTAAAATGTTGGAGAAGGTATCAGGATCTAAAGGTGCTGAATACACTCTCTATCAAAAGTATTTGGTCACTTACTCAAATGCAGACCAAGACATGTTGGAACAAACAATGGATGAACAGTACAAACTTATTGATCCAGACTTGTTGAGAAATGGCTTGAGATCATTGGCAATGTCCAACGAAGCATACTTTACCATTAGAAATAGATTTGCTAAATCCCTTGCTACCTTCTCGATTAGTTCCTATGTTTTGGGTATTGGAGATCGTCACTTGGAAAACTTCCTTGTTGATTTCTCAGAAGGATCCTTGATTGGTATCGATTTTGGTCATGCTTTTGGTAGTGCTACTGAAATTTTACCTGTTCCTGAATTAATGCCTTTCAGATTGACTCGTCAAATGTTGGCTATCTTTTCACCAATTTCTACTACTTTGGACGACTTTGCCAACGAAAATGTTGGTACTGGTTTACTATTTGAAAGTATGGTACATTGCATGAGAGCTTTACATAATAATCGACATATTTTATTGAATACTATGGATGTATTTATCAAGGAACCATTAGTAGATTGGTTGAAGAATGCCAAGAAGAATCCACAATTCTATCAAATGTCTGCTGAGAATTTACCAAATTCTGCCTCTAGCTCATCATCTTCTGAGGCTTCTCAAGATGGTGATCAGTCCTTAATGAAGTGGTATCCTCAAAGAAAAGTCGAACTTGCCAAGATGAAACTTGAATTGGCTAATCCTAAAGTTATTTTCAAGAGTGATGCTCAAGCCAATTTACACTTGAAAAAGGGATTGAAATATGTGGACAGAGCCATTGAAGGTGATCCAAAAACCAACAAGAGAGCCAAGGTTGGAGAAACTTGTTCATCCATCAAGGAACAAGTTGAATGCTTAATCGACATGGCAACCGATGTTAAGATTTTAGGTAGAACTTATATTGGTTGGGGAGCTCAATTTTAAATTAATTCTTGTTTATTTTTAATAAAGCTTCTTCATTCAAAACATTGTTAATTATACGAGAACTAATAGTTCATTATCAAAGCCACGAATTTTATGTTTTTCAGGAGGGTTTTCAATTTTGAAACGATAAACAGTCAGAAGGGAGAAATGGGTCCACTTTCGAAGAGGGAAAGTATGAAAAAGATCATCTTGGACCATTGAGCGAATCACCATCGTTATGCGAAACTAATGGAATTTGTTTTGATTGTATTAGTGGAAAGTCCTTGCTACCAATAAGACAGTTCCCAATTTTGATTTTTTACACTTGTGAAATTGGTACCTAAAGGAGTTTCGTATTTGAATTTGAAACAAGCACTTTCCACCGATTCAAATTGGAATTCCACTTTTGATGCCAGATATTACAATTTCACCATTGAATGAATAATATGACAATTTCTATTCTAAACCTTATCAATCCATCTACTCACCAGAACCTTTTTTCGGACTCAGGTTGGCTAACTCCTGTACTGAGAGATCGATATGGAAGAATAATTAAGAACACGGATGGTCAATTAGACCAATCAGAAACAAGAATTCTCACACAAACAACACAGAGCAGTATTCCTTTCATGGATTATGAATTATTGGCTGAAAGTTTGTCAAGTAATACCAAGATTCACAAGACCAACAACTAATAGAGAGGTTTATTCCAATAACATTTCTTTCAAAATATCAACATAGTGAATGATAGATTGAATGTAAATGTCCTCATCAAGATATTCATCATTATTATGGAATAAACTTTGGGTGAAAGGCATGAAACTATATCCAAGTGCGTTCACACCCTTACTTCTTTGAAATCGGGCATCTGTTCCTGCTGGTACAATCATTAAATTAGTGGTCATTTTGGAATTGACAACTTTGAGGAATCTTTTAACCATTTCATCTTCCAAATCAGTCAATCCATTTTCCATTGATCTTTTCAAGTATTTGAGAGTGCCATTCACACTTTCAGCCCATTGATGAAGCATAGCATCAACTTCATGTAAATCCAAGTGAGTTGCAACACGCATATCAAAAACAGCTGTGGCAGTTCTTGGAATTACGTTTGGGCTTGAAAATTCACCAGTCTCCTTATTGGTATGTCCAGCTTTCAAACCAGTCAAATTGATAGAAATGACGTGGCTAGCAGATGACTTTTTCTTCTCATTTTCTGTTTGTAATCTCATTTGAACTTGTTGTTGTTCTCTGAATGGGAATACCTTATCTCTCAGTAATCTGTAAATCTTTTCAGTGGCTGTATCTTGAATAAATTGAGAGCCATGTCCAACATTTCCAGTGGCTGTAATTTCAAAGAACCATGTGGCCTTTTCACCATAGAAAATTGGAATGACATCAGAGTTCAATCCACTGGATAATCCCTCATCTAATCCAAATCTTACATTCAAAGATTTCCACAATTCTGCTTGACTTTCACCAATCAAACAACCCCATCCATCTTGTCCACCAATTTCTTCATCAGCAACAAATATAACATGTAAAGTTCTCTCTGGTTTATATTCCGAATTGACCAACAACTTTAAAACTTCCATGTAAGCTGCTCCAACATTTTTCATATCTTGTGCACCTCTGGCATAAACTCTTCTCTTGGTCTTTCCATCACTTTCTGTTATGGTTTCTAATTTGGCTTCGAATGGAGGATAAGTCCACTGTGATTCATCAACAGGAACAACATCCATATGTGAATTGATTAGAATTGATCCCAACTCTGGCTTTTTACCTTTCCATGTCAAGATTAGATTTGGTTTTGTTGATTCGCAACGAAAAACAGTAATTGCTGCATTGTAACTTTCCATTTTCTTAACTCCTGATGATAATTCTTCCCATTCGGCAGAGTTGAGTGATGGAAATATTTCTCTACTCCAAGAAACTAAATGATCAATAGCAAGCTCGTATTGTGGAAAAGGTTGTTGAGTAGGTAATTGTAAGTAACGTTGAAAACGTGAGAGAATTTCATTACGAAGTGGGAGAGTTGCTGATGAATCGACATTTAACATGGCTTCCAACTCGTGTTGATGATCAATGGCAAGTGCTGAAGAAATATTGCACAGCAAGAGGACTGCACAGATCACAAGAATGATTTTGCGCATTTTTTCTATTGTGGAAACCTATTAAACAGATTTGCAATTCTACTTGCCAATTGTGGAATTGTAATCGTGTGAAAAGTTTTTGATTTTTGAAGTCAGATTCTGAAATTGTCAAGTATTTATTGAGAAATGCAATAATTTATAAGTTTCTTCACTGGATGCTGGTAAGACATGACACATAATCTTTTCCAACCCAAAACCAAAAATGCCAAACTTCATACCAGCCGTAGTCTCTCACTTCCAATTTCAGAAATTCATGGCCGTTGCCAAGTTGTAAACATTGAATCAAAAATATATTTGAATCAATTCATGTTAATAATGAATTATTATAAATTTTAATAATTGAACTTTATTGTTAATATTTGTCTTGTTCTTGACTTGGTAAAATTTCTTGTACATGCTTGATTGTTTTTGTGTTGTTCTTCTCTGTTGCTCTTTTTGCCTGTTGTTCCTTCGTTTGTTAAAAATCCTTCAAAACCAGGCGCACATTATTCCTCCGTTTCTCACCGTTGTTCTTTCTCTCCAAGGGGTTGTAAATAGTTTTACAGATCGATGGTTGTCTCTTCCAGATTGACCACTTTCTTATTCTTTGAAAATATCAAGAGTAAATATCTCAATGGCTTGATATCATTCCCAATTTTGGAATGTATATCAGTAATAGAGGTTTTCAAAGTATTCAAATCAACCTCCTTTGAAACTTGATATTTAATTGAAATCTTTCTTGTTGGAACTTGATTTTCCACAAGTTTAAATTCATTTCCAACATTAAACTTTCCTTGTAATTTTGAAATTAAATGTTCTGTCAATAAAGTTGATTCCAACACAAAGTGAATGGTTAGCATTCTAGTTGTGTAATCCAAATCACCAAATTTATGTGTGAAATGATCAGGATATCTAAACGAAATCACTTGTAAACTTTCACTTTCGAATACAAGTGGAGACAAGAGCAATTCCTCTTCTTCCACTCTACTCTTCTTATCCGAAAGTGAAAGTCCATTCAATTTCTCATCCAAATCTTCAGAAAGTTTAATTCCTTCATTGATGATATCCCAAATATTCTCTTCATCATTATTTTGTTTTCCTTCTTCTTCTGCATGTTGAACAGTATTACTAGAAACAACACTACTATTATTATGATTGCTGTTATTGTTGTTAGTAATCATAGAAGTACTATTACTAATATTATTGTTATTATTATTGTTTACATGTTGTGCTGATGATAAAGAAGAAGAATTAGAGACTACGGAAATGTTTGTAGAATTAGAATTGGATGGAGGAAGGCTAGGATTTGATAATGTTGTATTATCATCATCAATAAGTATTGCTGATGAAGATGTATTCTTGGAGAGTAATTCGGCAAGATCATCCAATTTTTGCTTTCTGGCAAATTGAAGTGGTGTTTCTCCTTTCTATGTTGTTGTTTAATATTATTATAATATTAAAATTTAAATAATATTAATATTTGATGATGAGAAAGAGGATGATATAATAATACATACATCACTTGGAATGTTTGGATTGGCACCCAATTTGAGTAGAATTTCTACACTTGACTTTTGTTTGGAAAAGACAGAGGCAAAGAGGGCTGTCCACTTTGTTGGACCATTGGCATAATTAATTTTAGCTCCACAATCGATTAGTAATTTGATGAGTGAGGTATGACCCTTGTATGAACAACAATATAACGGAGAATAGCCATACTATTGTGTTTTGTGATGATGTTTTGGAATTATTTAAATAATAAATATTATTGTGTTTGCTGATGAGAATGATGAAAAACACAAACCTCTTCCACACAATTAGGATTAACACCCTTCTGAAGTAATTCTCTTACTTTCTGTTCATTACCTTCCGAACAAGAATCGACGAGTTGTTTCTCTAGTTCATATTGAGACATTTTTATTTGTGTTTTTAATTTTCACACATTAAGGAGACGTCTGTTCTTAAAGTTTATTCCATCAAGATATCATCTACACTACTTGTGTGGCTTGTATGACTTGGTGGATTCCTATTGCGGCCAAGAACAACTACATTATTGGATGATCTTCTCAAATCGTCATCATCATCTGATTCTTCCAAATGATCTCCACTTCCATTATTACTTGTTTGGTTATTGTAGGCCATGCTATTATTGTTAAGATTGTTTGTACTGTTATTGCCTTGGGAAGGTTGTGGTGGTAATGAAACAGCAGCAGAAGCAGTAACAACAACATTATTAACATTAGAGAAACCATTTGCATCCAATGGATTCTTGTGATACATATTGTTGAGCATGTAGGTTTGAGTGCTTCCTTTACCCTTAACTTCAATTCTACGTTCCTCAAATTCATAACCCATATCATATACTCTTTCATAGGTAGATCTGGAAACTTGAATTCTTCCTGGCAAGGATGTGGATTCCATTCTACTTGCAACATTGATAGTATCACCCCACATATCATAGGCAAACTTCTTTGTACCAATAACACCACCGACAACACTACCAGTATTAATTCCTATGCGTATATTAAGGAGACTTGGATTTGAATTTTCCTTATTGGCCAAATTTTCAAGGTTGTAGTCATGAACTACAGCGAATGTGGCCATGGCAAAACGAAGAACTCTTTCAGGGTGATCCGAAGTTGCAGAACCGTGAATACCACCTACACAAAAATAGGCATCACCAATTGTCTTAATCTTTTCCAAATGGAAAGTGTCTGTAAGTGAGTCGAATCCATTGACAATAGTATTTAACATTTTAACTAGATCAGTTGGACTCATATTGGATGAAATACTTGTAAAACCAACCATATCACTGAAGAAACAAGTGACATCATTGAACTTTTCGGCAATAAAAGTTTCACCACTCTTAAGACGAACACCTACAGCTTCTGGTAAAATGTTCAACAAGAGTGAATCTGATTTCTTCTTTTCTTCTTCCAACAGCATATTTTGCTTCTTTTCAGGAGTAATATCCTTAATAAAGGAGACAATTACAGTGTCAGAACCAATCTTACTTGAAAAGATATTAATCTTGGCTGGGAATTTTGTTTGATTCTTACGAACACATTCAACCTCAATAGACTCACCATCATTACCACTCTTTGCTAACATACCAGATATGATCTTTCTCATCTTGGTGTGGCTTGATTCATCAAAGAGTGTGTATATAGGTAAACCCATAATATCACTCTTCTTGAAACCAAATGATCTTTCAGCAGAAGGATTGAAAATGGTAACTTCACATTGAGAATTACACAATACAGCTCCATCTACAGCAGCTTCAAGAATACTTTTAACATGTGAGTCTTCATTGTTGGAGGTGTCACCTGATGATTTCTTACTCTTGAATAGTTCAGATAATCTACCTGGCAATGACTTGAAGAGAACAAAGTTCTTGAGTTGTTCATTCTCTTCCAATACTTCAGGTGTAAAGTAGCTCAACATCATTCTTAATTGTTGATATTCTCTCCAGAAAGATGTCATAGATCTTGAAGTGAACCAAATAGCGGTTACCAATGAAGCATATCCCAATATTCCAAAAACAATTGTGATAGTGATTGAAGGAACAGAATTGTACTTGGAATAAATTTGAATCAAACTTTCGAGCTTTTGGGCAAGTAAATCTACATCAGAATAGATGGATTCCATACGTGTGAATAAATCTGATTGGTTAAAGGTAGAACTGGCATAGAAGACATCCTCATTAAAGAGGGCTGAAGAACTTGTCAAATATGAAACCAAATCATCCAAACCAACACACGTTGTACTATTGGATGTTGTGTTTGATGTACTCTTGCAGGTTCCTTGAATAAGTTGATCAATATCTGGATATTTTCCAAATAACTTATCGTTATCATTATCTGATGTACCAAAAAGTAAAGAGTACCACGAGCTCTGCATCAAGCTTGCTAGGTTCTTATTGTCTTTGTGGAATTGTGCTAATTCATCATCTGTAGTTAAATGCCTATCATTCATAGGAGTCGAAGGGAATTTAGATTTGAAAATGAAAAGTTCTCCCAATCTGAGACCAACTCTGTGGGCAGTCATCATAATATTTACACTGAATTGAATATTTTGAATGGCCATGGAGGAATTGTTTGAATTAATGATCGTTTCAATAAAGAACAAGGTGACGCAAATGGCTGTAATACAAATCATAAAAATAACCATTATAGAAATAGAGTTATTTGGTTTAACAAACATGGAAAAGAATCCATCTGAACCTATTTGTAGATCTTCCTCAACTTTACCTTCCAACTTGTGATAGATTTTACCAACCTTATCTTTTGAAATTGAACTTCCTATCAACTTGATAGAATCATTCAGTGAGGTAAGGTGGTATCTAGTGAATGCAATCACTGAGAAGGCACTAAGAATATATAAAGCTGTTGTGGAAATGTAATAGATTAAAAAGATAGTTCTGTATGTTGAGGATTTTTCTCCATTTCTGTCCAGATATTCAGAGCAAAAGCTTTCATAAGATGAGGAAAAACTTATTCTGTTTTGATAAAGGAACATAAAATTGTAATCAGATACTGTTTGCTTATATCTTTCCTCTGAGTAGTTATCATAGGCACTACACATTTTTACCAATGCTTTTGTAATTTCTGCAATAGTCGAATTTCTGGATGTAGAGTAACCAGTGTATTCTGAAGTATTTGTTGAGGAATAAATCAACACAGGTTGTTTGAGTAATCTGGTGCCTCTAGTATAGTCAGATCGGACTGATTCAGAGAAAGTATTCATACCAATAGAATACAGATTTGAGAGCTTGTTACATTGCTTATCTACTCTGGCTGTGTTTTCTGTATTCCATGACATTGAGTATTCCTTAATATTATCGTGCAATTGCTTTTTTCTAATGTACATAAGAACTGAGAGAGGAACAGAAGCAGGAATACACACATCATTTGAAAGAGCAATATCAGATGTTACACCAGTAGAGAACACCAATCCAAGGATAAGACCAATTGTTAGTATGATCAATGAAACTGAAGCAAAAACAACAAAGGTAATAAATTGAGGCTTATTATACATGGAAGATGAAAGTGCAGTTCTAAAGAGAAATTCCTTCTTTTGTTGTGCTGTGGCTGCGTTTTCCTCTACACCTTCAAACTTTTCATTTTCAAAGTCCATGTCATCTAATCTAGAGTCAGAAGAGTGGCCTTGCTTGTTCATGTCGATCTTTTCAAAGTATCCCTTATCTTCATCTTCACTTTCAAAACCACCACCACCTCCCCTAATATTAGAGGCTACAGAGAATTGATTTGGAAGTGGCACTACACGATTGGATGTATACTTGTTCTTTAAGGTTTTTGATAATTGATGTCTTCTATTGACAGCTTCTTCCTCTTCAATAATGTTTGCTTCGTGGTACATTTCTTGAGCTTTTTCTGGATCAAACTTGTAGTCTTCAACAAATCTGGCATATGATCTAATCACTGACTTTTCATTGTTGTAATTGGATATGAGAATATCATAAGAGCTTTGACAAGAGTGCACCAATTCAGCAATCTTTCTGTTGATTGTTTCAATCTTGGTAATTTCTAAAGATTCATTGATCATTTCCTTCCAGAATGATTTGTGAAGAAGGAGAACCAATTCTTGCTTCTTTTCCAGTCTTCCAATAATATTCTTAATTTCCATAATGTTCTTACCAGACAAGTCTTCTCCACTGAGGAATTCAATTTCCTTTGTTCTTTGGGTAATAATGTACTTTTTCAATGGATTGGACTTGAGCTTGGCAACCTTTCTGACAATACCACCTGCCAGTATGACACTGGTGAAGTTTGGTAAAAAGTAAGCTACAACCAACGCTGAGGTAATCAGAATATCAACATTATTGGCACACTTTTGAGATGAAACACCCTTAATCAAAGCAAGAGCAATTTCAACATCAGAAAGTTGAAAATCTCCAAAAGCCTTTCTACCTGATCTCATTGAGAATTTCAAGAAGAGGTTGAAGGCTCTCAGTTTACCATCCTTTTCAAATTTTTGATAGAGACCAGATGCTTCTCTTTCGATGGAGGATCTGACTGTTTGGGCTTGACTAAAATCAACCGAAACCTTAATAGTTTGAATAACACCTCTTCTGATAGAACTGTATAGAATACCAATATAAATCTCTGCTGCAACAACAAAAACTACAAAGCATACAAGCATAAGGCCAATCGTGAGACCCATCATGCCCAAACCAAGAGTCCAATTTGAATCATCAGTAGAGACCAAGCTAGAGACCAGAAAACCAACAGCTCCTCCCAATCTGGCACCAACAAAGCCAAAGAAGAGAGTATTCTCCACTCTTTTAAAATAAGGTAACAACCACAAATGGTAGGGCACATGTAGAATACATAAGGCAAGGTAAATAACCGGCTTGACATAGTTATAGGTTGGAGGTATTGCACAAACTAGTATAATGTAAATGCATTGTGTTGCAATGAATGGAAACAAGTAGTAGACCTTGTCTGTTGCAAAGGCATTCTTGCCACTCGGATTATCCTCCGACATTGTTAAAACAGAGATCAACTGAATAACAAGTAGTAACATGAAGAATATAGAACCGACAGAAATGAGAGTTGAATTAACTGCACCACTGCAGGCAATGGTTGGGTGCCTCCTCAATACTTCAACAGGTCTATCATAACCATCTAAATTTACAGAGGTTCCATAATTGCAATCTATAAAGGCACCAAACACATAGGTATAAATTAAGGAAGTAAGTGTGAGAAATCCATGAATGATTCTTATGGCAAGCTTGATCTTTTTCCAGTGCTTGTTTGCTAGTAAGCTTGCCCTATAGCCAACAAAAAACAGAATAAAGTAGACACATATTAGAAGGACAAAACAGCAAAATATCACAATAATGACTTCATACGAAACCAAGTTTAGGGATAGAGAAACTGGATAATTTGCTGCCTTAAAGATCCAATGCGAATATTCTCCCCAATTATATTCTTCGTCTGCCAATCCGGGAAGAAACATCATTGTCCAAAGGAGATAAATGTACAATACTAGGTTATAGGTAAAGTTATACCAATTTGTTTGGTGAATTTTTGTCTTCTCGTAAATATTTAACATAAAGTTAGTGGCACTCTCCTCGAATGAATTCCACATAGAGGCGCCGTCGTTTAACAGTGAAGCTGCTGCTCCAGCTGTGAGTGAAGTTTGATTATCTGCTGAAAGTACTGAGGCTGATCCTCTTGGCATACCGGCCAACCCTATTGAGGCCGATATATTCGGTGTGTGATCATCAACCTCAACAGCATAGCTTCCATTACTTCCCAAGGAATGAGTGGTCATCTGAGATGATGATGTATTGATTGCTGCTATAATTTTTGGTTTATTATTGTTGTTGTTTTTATCGCTTATCGTGAAAAAATAACCATTAATAGATGGTAAGCGTTGATGTTGGCTGTTTTTTTTTGGTTTGAATTAAGGCTTATAACGTTGGAAGGTGGCGCTAAACCAGTAGAGAAAAAGTTCCCAGCAAGTGTTCCTAAAACGCAATGACAAAAAAGAAGAATTTCAGTATAGAGACAAGCTTCACAAAAGGTGGCTTTCCTTAATAGGGCGTTTTTAAGGCAAACCCTGCGTGTTAATCTGTTGCGAACCAACCATGCTTTCACCTCTCGCTTTAATAATTTCCAATTATAGCTGGCAAGACCCTTACAAAGGAGCTCTACATTATCAGATACTGTGAAAAAATTTGGAAAGTGGCTAGAACAAATTTGAGTCCTTGAACTTGAAATGGAATTTTTTGCAAGTCAACCAAAACAACAAAACAACATGACCACAATACAGATATTAATTAATATAAGGTTTGTGTTGATACTCCTTGAAAAATAACATCAATCAAGCAAATATTCAATGGTCTAAACGATCATTGCAAATGTAAATGATTTGAATGTGTCCATTGAGTGTAATAATATGACGAATATCTCTGTAGGTATTCACCGAAGATCATGAATTTAGTTGTTCATCGGGTTGAAATGCTCAAGACACTGCGGAAAAAAAAGTTTACTTTCCAACAGAATCATTCTCTTCATCATTCGAAAGATTTGGTCCAATAAAACTGGCAGCAATCATCACCATTTTTTTTTAATAATTTTAATTCCATTTTTTTTATTTAAAATTCAAATCATTTAAACATCATCCAGTTGGTGCTCATCATTAAGGTAAAACAGTTCTCCTAAAGTCATCAAAGCCCAACATGCATGTTTCAACCCGTTTTTAATCTCATGCAGCATGTAAAAATATTTTTAATTGATTTTTTATTCTTAGATCTCTCAAATGTTGGGATACGTCGACCATTTCCAAATTTGGCGCCAAAATCGGCATTATCATTTCAAAATTTTTTAAAAATTGCCTCCACATACAATGACCAGTCCTTTCACTCATCCATTCATTCAAGTAAGTTTAGTAGCAATATATTGAAAAATCCTAACTGATGATGAATAAATAGGTTATTATGCACTTGACTTCACCAGTAACTTCCAATTTATTCATCTTTTTCTCATTCAAAGTGAATCATTGGAGTAAGATCAAGGCTTCGTGGCGAGCACGCCAAATACTAAAGAGAAATGCAGCACAAAATCTCAAATCCCAATCATCAACATCAACACTTTCCAAATAAATATTCAATAAATTAATTTCTATTCAATATTAATTTCAATTCTGCTTCTTCCATATTAATATGAAAATTCATCATCAACTGTTTCTCATCATCATTATCCATATGAAAAATTGTTGCGTCGTCCACAATGTGATCCAAATAATGATGTGGCAATGCATCCCTTGCACAACATTCCATCAATTGTTGTGCCGCAACTGACATTTTGTTTGCGTAATAATTTCCTTTCATGTCTAAACTAACGCCATTCCAACTTTTGAGAACTTTTTGACCAAATCTCCAAAAAAGAAACAAGCAAAGAGACAATGATAGATTCACTGCCCGATAACATGTATTATTTAGTCACATTCACTATCGATATCGAACCCATCATCCCGAGAATCTATGCAGTAGAAGAGATTTAGCTGCAATTTTGTACTGTTTTTCATCGAGTGTTGTGCCACAAAGTTTGTTGCATGATGATGGAACAAGGTAAGATTATTATCCTCTGGATATTGGATTCCTTTGTTTCGCGACCTTTATCATCACCCAATAGAAAATCATTCCAACAAATTACCTTAACTTGGAGCAACAATTTACAAAAAAATGTCGAGACGTGTTATCAAGAAGTGTATGAGTCATTTGAATGGGGGTATTGGTAGAGAGGGTGGATTGATGCGAAATGTTCAATGCAAGGCTACTGTTTCATCATCATCATTGGCAATGCAATTTTCCAAGAATGGTAATAATCATTTGATGAGTAGTAGCATGATGATGAAGAATGGTTTCTCTGGGGGAGGAATGAATGCAACTCAGCACAGAAATTATTCAACCTTGTTGAATTGGTTCAAGGGATTGAAAGGTGGATCCACCTCATCCGTCGAGTCTACCACAACCAATTCTACAAACATCCTACCATCCATGGTTGTTGATCCATCTTTAACAACACCACCTACTGGTTCTACTGCAATAGATAATAATACAGGAGCTCCTGTTATGGAAACTGATGACGATCTGTTTAGAGGATTACAATTAATTCATGAAACTCCTCAACATGAATATCATCCACCATTGACTTTTGGTGAGGAACATGAATTATTTGTGGGAGGACATTTGCCACATACTATGCCTCATATTAATGCTATTCAGGATTTGCTTCAATATTTGCATGATATGATCGGTAAGCAATTCATTTAATAGTTTACAAAAATATTGAACTTTTATTGCAGGATTACCATGGTATGGAGCTATTATGGCAACAACCATTCTATTCCGTTGTCTGGTTCTTCCTCTTAACATTGGTCTTACGAGAAATAGTGCTCGTCTTGATCAAGTTCGTCCAATTCTATTCGAAAAGTCAGAAATTATGGCAAGTAAAACTGCATCTGAAGAAGAAAAGGTACAAGCTGCTGTTGAATTCCAAGAAACCATGAAAGAAAACAAATGCCATCCTCTCCTCAACATTATCTCACCACTCATCATGGCTCCAATGTTTTTATCAGTTTTCGTCAGTGTTGAAAGAATTTGCCTTCACGATCCAGAATGTAGAGGAACAGGTGGTTTGTGGTGGTTTGATGACTTGTCGAGTGTTGATCCTACAGCTACCTTGCCAGTGATTAGTGCAGTCACTTGGTTGATTAGTGTGGAAATGGGAGCTGCTGAGCCAAGGTGAGTTTTTATCATTACAATATGGAAGCTAATGTATTCTATATTTGAAATAATTGGAATATTGTGAAATGTTCATGTGAAATAATGCAGAACTGAGACAATGAGACAAGTAAGAAGTGTTATGAGATTTGTTGCAGCTGTCATGGTGCCAATTACTGGTGCCTTACCAAGTGGAGTGTTTGTTTATTGGATCACTTCGAATATTTTCTCAATGCTTCAAATTTATACATTGAGATTGCCTGGAGTGAGAAGATTTTTAGGAATTCCAGTTAAGGATCAAAGTGGAACCAAGGATGAAGATAAGACTAGAGATATTTCAATGTAAATAAACAATCATTTATATTTCTCTAAAGGGTTTTGGATTAACTAATTTGTTGCCAAGTTGAGACTTGCAAGTATTTTACTAATTTCAAGTTTATTACAATCTTGTTTAGAATATGAATTAAAGAATCAAGAAAATTGACATGATGATAATTGACAAAGTTGTAACCAACAACATATAAGGAGTCTTAATTGAAGAACCATCATTCAATCTAGCATTGGATTTTGTAGCTGTGATATTTGAAATCTTTCCTTCGACAATGAATTCACAATTCACTCCATAACTATTAACTGTAGTACATTTACAATTATCTGGTGAAATACATTGACCTCTAGATGAACAAACACTCGAATCACTATTCTTAATACCCTTACAATTAAATGATTCGCAATTACTTCCAAAATATCCAGTCTTACAATTACACTTATCTGGAGATGTGCAATTTCCTTGTGATGAACAAACATTGGAGGAATTTTGAGAATTGACACCAAAACAATTGAACATTTCACAATTACTTCCCAAATATCCAGTCTTACAATTACACTTATCTGGAGATGTGCAATTTCCTTGTGCTGAGCAAACGTTAGTGGAATTTTGAGAATTGACACCAAAACAATTAAATGATTCACAATTCTTTCCATAATATCCATTTTCACAATTGCAAGTATCTGGAGAAGAGCAAACACCATGGGAAGAACAAACAAGTGTTGAATTGGAGGAAATTCCAGAACAATTGAAGGAATCACAATTGGCTCCATAATAGGAAGGTGAGCATTGACAAGTATTGTTTTGAGTACATGAACCCTTACCAGAACAAACTGATGGATCATTGCTAACAACTCCAAAACATACTGGAATACACTCACTACCATTCAATGCATAATCGGTTGGGCACATGAGGGAAATCTTTCTAATTCTATGATTATCAGGATCACTAACATAAATATCATCATTCGAATCAAGATAGATTCCTCCCAAAGTTCCAAAGGTTGCATCAGCAGCTGGACCACCATCTCCTGAAAAACCAGCAACGTTACTTCCAGCCAGAGTAACAATTATTCCATTCAAGTCAATTTTTCTAATTCTTTTAGCGTCAGAAATGATTAATTCTCCTTTCGAATTCATGGCAATATCTGTTGGTCTTGCAAGATATGTTTCTGTGGCCAAAATATCATCAGCTCCATAATCTCCATATCCTGTTCCTGCAATAGTTGTGATTGTACCATTAGCAAAGATCTTACGGAATCTGTAATTGTCTTGATCGGCAAAGTAAATGTCATCTGAGTGGATGAATAAACGACCTGGAGAAGAAAGGGAAGCATATTGAGCCAAATCTCCATCTCCACTAAATCCTTGACCTGAATCTTGAAGATTTCCATATCCTGAAATGGTAACAAGTGTACCATTTGTCAAAATTTTACGAATTCTATTGGACTCTGTAAAGATGACCTCACCCAATGAATTGAGTGCAACACCACTTAAACCTCCAACTGATGAACCCTCTGCAATACTTCCATCCTCTGTAAATCCATAATTGCCATCACCAATAATTGCTGTAATTGAACCATCTTGGTTAGAAATTTTGAAAATTTTGTTATTGGTATCATCTATCACATAGACATCACCATTATCTGATCTTGTTGTAATTGCATAAGTAGTACCGAACTTTGCCTTTGTAGCAAGCTCTCTGAGGGCTCTAAGTTGTGGGTTACCATTTGTACCTGAACCTGCAATGGTTGAAATAATTCCACCATTAGAAACACTTCTCACTCTCGCATTACCAGAATCTGCAATCAGAATTCCATTTGGTCCCTTTTTAACATCAATTGGATATCTCAAAATACCATAAACTGAGGCAGCTTTTCCATCTCCCAAACCATCTCCTGCAATAGTTGAAATAGTTCCATCCAATAGAGAAATTTTACGAATTCTCTTATTTCCAAAATCAGAAATCAAGAGATAATTATCAGAACTCAAAAAGATTGATTCTGGTGCATCCAAGAGAGCATTTACAGCTAAACCTCCATCTCCTTCATAACCAGCAACTCCAGTTCCAGCAATAGTAATAATTGTACCATTTGTCAAGACTTTACGAATTCTATGACCATAACTTTCGGCAATATAGAGCTCACCTGTGGAGCTAAGGGCCAATCCACTTGGTCTGAAAAGTGAAGCAGAAACAGCCAAGATACCATCACCATTATAGGCACTCATACCATTTCCAGCAATTGTAACAATGGTACCATTGGTAAGGACCTTTCTAACTTTGTGAAATGATCTATCGGATAGATACATATTTCCAATCGAATCAAAGATGATATTTCCTGGAGCTCCAATAATTGCATTGACAGCCAAAACACCATCTGGTGATTCTTGACCTTTTTGTCCACTTCCAACAACTGTTGCAATTCTACCCTCTAAAGTAATCTTTCTAATTTTGTAACTTTGAGTTTCGGCTATGTGTAATTCACCAGTAATTGGATGGAAAGCAATTGCTTGAGGGAATGACAATTGAGTTTCATTAGCAAAAGCTCCATCTCCAGTATAAACTGAAACTAATCTTCTATCATTGTTTTGTCCTGGACCTGTTCCTGCAATGGTTGTCATAATTCCTTGAGAGGAAACTTTTTTAATCTTGCATGTGGAATAATCTGCAATGTAAACCTCACCATTTGAGCTAATTTCTAATCCTCTTGGTTCTGCAAGTGGTGTATTAACAGCTGGTTGACCATCTTCAGGATTAACTTGGTTGTTTGTTCCAGCGAATGTGGACATGATATTGTTAGTGGACGAAACTTTACGAACTCTATTGTTATCAGTCAAGTAAAGATCACCAGTTTTGGAATTGATTGTCAAGGCATAAACATTTTCAACTTTAGTTTCAGCAGCTGGTAAACCATCACCAATAGAGAAACTGCCAGCAAATGAGGAAACACCAACGAAAGGTGCAACTGAACTGGCATGTGTTGAAAGACACATGTAACTAGTTGTGAAAAACACAATTGACAATAGTAAATATTGAAAAATAGATAGCTTGTTCAACATTTTTTTTGTTTCGAATATTCTGGACGAAAGTGTGTGAATGGCGCGCTTAAAAGGCCATTAGTGAGATTAGTGTGAAATTACCATAAACATCACTATTTCGAATAAAAAGTGGAAGCTTATTTTGAGATTGAGTGTTCATTCATGTTTTACAAAGGAACTAGCCAATCAAAATTGAAAATAAAGTTCTTCAAAGTTTGCAGATTACAAAGTCAACCAATTTTTCACCCAATTAGATTGTTAGTTGTATTTTATGGGAAGAGACCATTGACATGAAATCACTTTCAAAGTTCCAATCTAGTCGTGCTTTGCTAGAATTATATAATTCACAAAAACTTTGAGGTACTATTTAATTATCCATCTATTCGATTCGCACCGTACAAAAATTTGTTGTGCAATGTTGAAAAGCTACCAAGTTGTTAACACTCACATCTTGTACAATAGCTCAAATTGGCAATTCTTCTACGGTTAATTAATACCATGAAGAAACCAAGAAGAGAATTTACAGCAAGAAATGGAGCTTGGATTTGCTTTTCAATTGACTGGTGAGTCATTATAAATATTGAATATCAGCTTGATTGGTAATTTTCTTGTAGCTCTGAAAGGAACTTTTACTTCTAATCAACTTTCTTCTGAGAGAATTCTAGTAACAATTTAATTACAACGTTCCCATTTCTAATCCTTTGTTGTTCCTCCAAGTCCTTTTTCGTTCTGATCGTGATTTCAAAAAGTGATGTGATATTCGAGCAACAATTAAAAGCTCGTTGTGTTGGTAATTTGATTTGACAAACGAACTAAACTTGAATGATTTATTACAAAGAATTGCACGTTTAGAATCTCAAATTATAATTCCTGTTGGTATTGTGAATGCATTTGCTGGAACAACTATACCAGCAGGTTGGTTATTGTGTGATGGAGCCACCTATCCGAATAGTCATCCAGATTATATTCGATTGTTTCAAACTATTGGAAATGCATATGGAAGTACAGGAGGACCTCACTCATTCAATGTTCCCGACCTCAGGGGAAGAGCAGTTGTTGGAATTGGTCACGGAGCTGGACTTTCCAATAGAACTCTAGCTCAAAAAGTTGGAGAAGAATCTCACCAATTGCAAATTAGTGAACTACCAAGTCATTCACACTCAGGAACCACTGGAAAAGCCAACAAACAACCTTACATTATAGTTCATCAATCTGGACCAATTTCTGATGTTTTCCATACTCCAGGATGGTGTGGAGGTCCAGCTACTCATAAGGATGACGATAATTTTACAGGAGCCAATCATACTCACAATTTCACAACCAATGAAGTTGGTGGAAATTCAGCTCATGAAAATATGCAACCATCATTGGTTCTTAATTATATTATTAAATATTAAGAATTACAAATTTAATATTTATAAAAATTACTAATTTTGGAAATTATCTTCCAAAAAGATAATGCAAAAAATTGAATAACCAGCCAATGAAATAGTCAATACAAATCCCAATAACCAACTCACATTCCTCAAAATTAATAAATTCCTCAAATAGGCAAATAAATAAATAATTCTCGATGTTGTAAATAATCCCATGAGTGAATTTGCAATAATTGAATGCCAAATTGGTTGTTCTAATTGTTGGCAGATAATGACGAAAGCTACGTTTACTAGAAAGAAAGGACAAATGTTTTCCAAATCGTTTCGTAAAACTTGTTCAGTTCTATACGAAAGTAAATCTTCTAATTTAGGAATTGATGATGAGGATGGTGTTGGTCTGTTGTTGGAAACATCATCTAGAGATGACATGGAAGGAGAGGACGAAAGTCTAGCTTGAGCTCTTTGCTCTGAATCGAGCAGTGTTATGTTTCGTCCACTTTCGGATAATGTTTTATGATTCTTCTCTCGGACTCGAAAGATAGCAGCTAATATTGAACAAATAAACATTCTAATAGAAAGAAGAATGGTGTTCAATACGAAACCAAGCAAGATACCATTCGAAAGTAGAGATTGAGCCATTTTTTATTTGAAACTTGTTATTCTAAAGGACAGGTGATGAAAATGACGAAACAAGCCTTGTACATTTATGATTGGTCAATTATTTCCATAAATATCTCTCGTTATTTTCACAGTTCATTGTAAATTATTAAACTATTCTAATAAATTTATTCGAAACTCTATTGCAAGATAAAATTTAAACTTTCTAATAGAGATAGGATTTATTCTTTCCTGTTAACTTTTTCATAATTCCAGAAAAGAGTTTCTGAGTTCTATTTGAAGGCTCAGAATAATTTGTTGCATTCGAATGACTGCTCAAATTGCTAACAGTCGAAACTATACTTTGTGAACTATTCGAATATAAAGTAGAGTGATCAGTAAGGAAACTTTCCTTATGTGGTTTCAGTGGCGCTGCCAACTTATCCTTAGATTCGGATAACAAAGCCGAATCTTTCGAAAAGGCTTCAGAAGTGACAAGTTTCTTTGGTGTGAAGTTTCCTGATTTTCTGGAAAGTTGCCTAATCTTCTTTGGTGTCATGATTTCTTCAGAGGGTTGATGAGAAGTAAGAAATGAGAAAATTGATTGTTTCTTACTTGTTGAACCTCTCTTTGAGTTATTCGAAAGTCCATTTGATGGAAGGGCACCTTTCGAATTGAAAGTCCACTTGGATTCATAAGATTTCATAATTTCCAAAACATTCTTCCATCTAATATCACTCTGATTATTTGAAACTTCCTTTTCAAGATATTGGTGTGGAAATAAACCATTCGAATCCTTTCCACTTAATAATCCAGTGCATTCTCTATTAAATAAGGCACCATATGCAAGATTCTCATCTAACCATGACAGGAGAAAGTAGAAACTATCCAACCACGTTTGGTAATCCTCTCTATTATGTTGATTCATTCGTTTCGTGGCGAATTCAATCGAAAGATGAAGAATATTCTTTGAATTTCTATCATTTGTGAAAACTATTGATTCCATTAGTTTTCTAGGATCACTACAGCATTCCTCTGCTACTAGTGAAAGTATTGAAAGACTATTTACAATTTCTTTTGTGGCAATATGGTCGCCACAAGCCACTGATTCTAATAAAAAGTTTCGTCCATGTTGATTCTTCAAGCTCAATGCCTTTTCAAAGACTTCCCTACCAAATACTGACGATCCACTCTCAAGAATCATTCGAATAAAATTAATTCTCTGTTCCTTAGGGAAAGCTCTATTCACAGCACTTCTCAATGCTGATTTAGTTTCACTGTAAGGTGAAGTTGGGGAGGGACTCTCTGGACTCGTACAATTTGTTTGTGCTATATTCGTTGACATGGTTGAGAAATCACTACTTCCCAATATGAATGATCTTCCTGCATTCACATTACATCTGAAATCTTTCACCAATGAAAAGAGAGCATTCTCTTCTTTTTGATTCTTTTTCAGGAGGGCCTTTGGAGCTCTCTTGGCAATGAATTCAACTCTCAACATGTCCAAATCTCTCATTGAAGTGTGGAGTAAACTCTCTCCAAATGCACCAGTGTTTCCATCGATACTGGCTCCAAAGAGAATGAGCAAGTCACACATTTTCCAATCTCTCTTTCTCATGCAGAGGGAGAGTGGAGAGTTTCCATAATTGTCAGTTTGGTGAATGTACTTGGAGAGTGGATCGAGTGTTTGCATTTGGCTCATTAGGAAAACACCAGCTTCATTGGCTGTTGAAGTTGGACAACCTTGACATGCACAAAAAAGTGGAGTTGACCCATTGTAATCTTTCAAATTCCACAATGTGATTTGTCTGGAAATACACATTGTAGAATGTGAATCATTCTCAATATTGCACTCCTGATCACAACAACATGATTTTAACCATTCCAAAATCTCAACTCGATTATGTTTGGCAGCAATGTGAACCAGTGATGAATTATTGGCATAATTACTAGTTGTAGAACTCGAATAAATCTTCATCATGAGAGTACCAGGTGAAGTAGGACAGTTAGGACTCGTGGATAATGCCAAATTATCATTCACTGTTGAATTTTGGCAATTATCTGGTGAATAAATAATTGAACTTTCCAATAATCTCCAAAATGGTTCAGTAACCACATGATTGAAAATTAATGGTCTTTCCAGAGCACTAACTTCTTTCTGAATAGCACTCGAAATCAAATTCAAATAATGAGCATCTAAACTATTAGGTTCATTATTCAAATCATTTTCGTCATCTTCCTCTTCAGAAGTCAACACATCATCTAATAATTGATCTTCCATAATGAGATCCTTTTGTTGTTTAGTAAGTATTCTAACTTTATGAGTTGGCAACACTTTGAAAAAGTATTTACATAAAAAGTCGTTTTCCTTTGCATGTCTTTCTATAATTGTTTGGTCAATTGGCATTTCACAACACGTACAACTGCGCATGTTATTCTTATTTACAACTTGGTCATCTTCATTCTCGTGATGATCTTCCAGTAAAACTTCATCCAATAGCAGAATAGTAGCTGAAGAGTTAGTTTCGTATTGTTGATGATGATTCTGATTTAAACTATTCGAATTCGGAGAGGCCAACAAGGAATGAAGAATTGGCGTCTGATGACTCATCGTTTGTAAATCTAACGAAAGTAACGAAGAAGCCGAAGGAGACAATCCCCATCTCTTATTATTGAAACTATTTGTTGCCATCATTGTGCTATTCGAAACTGTATTCGAATTGAGTGTCAACATTAAATTATTGGAAGAATTTGAATTTGGAGAAGATAGAAAGTTGGTGTTGGTGAGAGAAGATGAATTGGCAAGCATTGGAGATGGTGGAGTGTTTAGGATATTATTGGATGATGACTGACTTGTTCTTTGATTATTGTTGGAAGAAGAAGTACTGTCGCTTGTTCTTCGAATCATATTTGTAGTTGTTGTTTAATGATTTAATTTGATTTCAGTTGTTGTAGGAAAATATTTACGAGAGTTTAATTTAGTTTCGTAAACTTTTAATTCTCTTGTTGGAGAAATGATTCAAAGGAATCTGGTTGTTTTGATAATTTGTTTTGAATTGGCCAGTATTATAACGAATGCACCGGCACTGCCAGTTTCTTTAGATTCTTTTTCTTTGCTTTCGAATACTTCATCCATGAAACAGGTTGAGAAACAAAGCCCAGTTAGATAATGCAAACAACGAAGAGCCTCTCCATGAATGGAAAGTCATGTACCGACATTGTAAATCAATTCGTAAAGTTTTTGCTATTGAAGGTCAGCCAATTACAATTCGGGAATTGCTCACAAATTAGGAGAGGAGGTTCTAAACAGGGGTAATAAGGAAACGCGTTTGGAAGCGAGCCGTGGTATCAATATTGAGGTTTGTTGTTGAGGAATTTGGTAAAGTATTTCTTGTGGAATTTTGTTGGTGATGTTTTTTTGGAGAATTCGAAAGTGGATTCTACCAAACTTTATCCGTTTGTATAAGTTTTTCTTTGATTTTGATATTTGGCATGTGTTGACAGGGTCGCTTGTTTTTGTTAGTTACTATTCAATGTAAATATGGCTAGTCAATCTTAAAATTATAGAGTTGGAAAGTTTTCTTTGGGAATAAAAAGTTATTGACCTTTCTTATACTTCCAACTGCCATTCAAGTTACAACCCATCAAAATATCACTCAACAATGCCGTGTACGATAGAATGGCATCAACACTTTTAGGATTATTTTCAATATCAATTTCCAAATAAACTGCTTCTCCAAAATTGGAATAAATAAATTGTTCTGCCTCATGTTTTTGAACATGATTGGAATGGGAACTTTTCAATTGAATAAATATCAATTCCATGTACATTGTGATAAAAGAATCAAGATTTTTTAAATATTCCATCGAAGATTTTGAATCAAAAAGTAAAACTATGAAATGTGAACCCTTAAAATAGGATTTTGTGACACCAATATACTTGTCAGATCCAGCATTTGCAAATACTTGATATCGATAACGTGTTAGTGATCTCAATGAATGGTACTCAATGATGGATAAATCACATCCAACCAAATATTTGTGTTTGTTTGGGGAATTTTTCATATGGTGGTAAAGTTGTGAAATTTCTGATCCAAACATGGCAATTTTGATATCGTCTACTTGTTTTTCCTCTTGATTAATCACTTCCTCTGCGTTATGTTTCGAATAACCTACAAGTTGATTAAAGAAATTCCATATTGAACTTGTCTGAGATTCATTTTGATTATTGACATTTAGCATCTTTCTTACATCACCAAAAATCCTCGAAAATTGCAATAATTCTTCATATTTTCCCTCATTCACATCCAGAGTTTGAATCAATGTCGATTTCTCAGCTACTTTCCCAACATTCCAATAAGAATTCGAATTTTCAATCCACTCAATCAACCATTTCCTAAATAAATTCCTAACAATCATTCCAATATGTTTTCTCTTATCCAAATATTCATAATTCAGCACCCTATCCTTTCCATCAACACAGATCACAGGTTTTTTCATCAATTTCTCATCATGATGATGAATATTCCTCCACTCGGAACAAACTCTTGCAATTATTAATTGATGAAAATAATCCAAATAGGAAAAACATTCAATTAGCAATTCTCGGGGAAGATTTAATGGATGGGAGGATGATTGTTTGTTGCCGACGGTTTTTGAAGTTTTGTTATGGAGAAAGTTTGCCTTTAAGTGTTGAAACATTTTTTTTAAATTGTTAAAACGATTACAACAAGTTGTTGTAAACTTTCAAGAAATCGAAAAATGATTCGATGCATTTAAAAAATTAGACAATATTGAAAACTTATTAATTTTCTATTAGAAACAAAATTCAATAAGGTGTTGGATAACATTTTACACTTCCTCTGCTTCCAATACTTTATTTTAACTCACTTCCTTTTCAACACGTGTTTCACTTACTTTCGTCCAAACATCTAAGTCACCCAAATTCCAAAAATAAATTCCCATAAAAAAAATAAAAAAATCTAAATTTCAAAAAAAAATTTTGTTAAACTCCAACCTCTTCTTCGATATCTTTTTAAAATCCACACACAAAAATGATGATGAATATTTGGGTCAACGGAACACAACCAACTTGGATTCCAGCTGGTTTTCAAATCGTAAGTTTTTTTTGGCGCGCAAATTGTAAATTTATTTTCTTCGTGATGATGATATCGAAATTAATTTAATGAATTGATGATGAATAGCCTCCACATCTTGTTGGACAACAACAACAACTTGTTTCTCAAGCACAAATGATTTACTATCAATATGATAAGGATCACAGCGGAACTTTGAATAAGAAGGAATTTAAGAAGGCAGTTCGTAATCTTGGATTGACAAAAGAAGAATCCAAGTAAGTTTTATTAGTTATAATGGATGATGATAGTAATTCTAATAATTTAATTTCGTAAATGAAACTATTAGACACTTGTTCAAAATGGTTGACCGTGATCATAACAAGAAGGTTAACATGTTTGAATTCATCAATGCCTATCTTTTCGTTATTGGTGGAGGAATGCGTTATCAAGGAACTGGCTATACTGGACCATATGGAAGTTATGGAAATAACAATATGATGCACGTTTCCACTTATCCAACCACCACTGGTTATGGTTATCCTTCAGTTCCATCGAATACTACCACAACCACAACTGTTTATTCAACCACAACTCCAACTTCATATCCACCAAATACCATCACTCCAAATGTTTATTCATCAACAACTTCATATCCACAAAATACCATCACTCCAAATTATCCATCTTATGTACCATCATCAACTGGTGGAATTTCTATGAATATTTCATATCCAAACAGTACTGGTTCAATGAATGTGTCAACATATCCAAATGCCAATTTCACAGTTACTAGTAACTCATATCCAAATATGAATGTTTCTACTTATCCAACTGTTCCAACTTCAACCATGCCAACTATGAATGTTTCCACTTATCCTTCTGTTCCATCAAGTACTTATACTCAACCAACTTCTTATCAACCACAAGTGAGTTCTACAACTGGTGGTCGTACATTGATGGCCAATCTTCGTTCAGCTCATTTCAAATTCCTCTGTTGTGAACCATCTGGACAAGTTGTTGCCAACAGAGATGCCAATGGACCATGGGAAGCATTGACTTTGATTCACGTTTCTGGTTCTCAATATGCTTTCAAGTCTGCTCATGGCAAGTATGTCTGTGCTGAACCTTCTGGTCAAGTTATTGCTAATCGTGATGCTTTGGGTCCTTGGGAACAATTTACACTTGCTCAATCTGGTAGCAATGTTGCTTTCAAGTCTGCTCATGGTAAATTCTTATGTGCTGAACCAAGTGGTTTGGTTGTTGCTAATAGAGATGCTTTGGGACCTTGGGAACAATTCCAATTCACCCTTGCTCCAAATCAATCCATCTCATTCAGACATAATCATGGTAAATTATTGTGTGCTGAATCCAATCACTCAATGGTTGCCAATAGAGATGCCATTGGTCCTTGGGAAAAATTTACTGTTGAGAGTCATAGTGGAAAGAATGTTTTCAGATCTGCTCATCGTAAGTTATTGTGTGCTGAACCAAGTGGTTTGTTGGTTGCAAACAGAGATGCTGTTGGACCTTGGGAACAATTCACTGTTGAATTGCACGGAAATGGTAAAATTGCTTTGAAGTCAAATCACAATACCTATGTCTGTGTTGAACCAAGTGGACAAATTGTTGTCAATAGAACTGCTGTTGGTCCTTGGGAACAATTATCCTTCAACATGTAATTTTAATACAATTTTCCTTTTTTGAAATACATCATTTCTTAATATCAAACTCAATAACTCTGAATTATAATCTGAAAAATAGAAAGACGTTTAAGCTATTGGTATCCTAGCTTACATTCTGCTATACAATCTAGTTCAAACACTGTGCCAGATACAGTATTAGAAGCAAAATAGCAAAAGCTGGGGTCTGTGAGGATCGAACTCACGACCTTAGGATTATGAGACCTACGCGCTACCGACTGCGCCAAGACCCCGACACATTATCTATTATTAAGGATATGTAGTTGTTAAGGTGTTAGTGCTCGGTTTTATTTTTTTTGTGTAAGTTCTTCCTATTTACAAAACAAACGCAGTTTTTGGCTGGAACATTTAATTTAATAGCTGTTAAAGGTGTAATTGGTTATTTCAAAGTCACTAGCCTTTTGAGCACTCACTCCACTTGTAGAATAAGATTTCATATTTTGGTTCACTTGTGTATGATAATTGAGAATCATTTGTAATGCTCCAAAAGATGATACACCTTCTCTAGTGAAATACTCAAATACTTTAACCAAATGACTAGTAACAACAGAGTCTTCTGGATTGGTCAATAAATGGCCATTAAGAATATCTATCGATTCGTATAACTTTTGCATCACTTCTGATGGTTCAATCTTATTTTCCTTCACCAAGTCAAAAATTTGGAAAGCTCTTTCGAAATCCTTGTACTTTAAATTCTTCTTTTGTTGTTCTAATTCATAGAGCCATTCATCATTTTCATAATTATTTTCCTTAAACACTTCATAGACAGTCGAAATGTCTTTTTCTGAACTTCTGCTTGGCCCGAGTAATAATCTATCTATTGGTCTACTCACAAAGAATGGTTTGGCTTCATCTGTGATGGTATTTCCATCTGCAAGAATCTTGGCATGATAAATAGAGCCAATGGTAGCAAGAGTTTTAGCATTTGTACAACATGGACCCACAATCGAATAGTATCTCAAATTACTTGTTCCCAAATTACCAACATTTGCCTTACCAGAACTGATACCAATTGAGAATATTGGGTTTCCTTGGGAAAGATCAAGTTCTGAATAACAAGTCAAAACATTATCAAGTACTTTGGAAACCTTGATAGCACATTCGACAGCAACGAGATTAGGTTTCTTCTTGGAAAAAGAATCGACAAATGATAATTGATATTCATGAATGGAGGTGATTTGAAGATCTGCTTTCAATGTTTTTGAGAGGGCTGATAATCCAGAGGCAATTCTGGAAAAGATTTTGGTGATGGTATCTGGATTATTCCCCAATCCTTCAGGATTGATCATTATTGAAATGACACTCACATTCTTCATTTGTAAACCAAGTTTAAATAGTCCTGTTTTGCCTAATTTACTTGCAATCAGTGATCTCATTGAATTACTGGAAGAATTATCTGTTGCTGTATGGTCTATTGAGTGAGAACTGTAAGTAGCATGTATATTATGATGTGGATCGTGTTTTTTCATATCATGTGAGGTTTCCTGAACAGATGGTTTTGGCTTTCCTTCTTCCTCAATATTAGAAAGTTGAAGAAAGATGGATTCTGGAAGGAAGGACTTGAAATCGTTCAGCCAACTCACCATATTGAAAAGATCCTTGTAAATACTATTCACTTCCTTGAATGAACTGGAATTGAATTGGACCAATTCCAAATCAAATTTCTTAATTAAGGCAAATTGCTTTTTCAAATATGTCAAAGGACGAGTAATGACATAACCAACAATCATACTCAAAATGATACCAATAAGCAGAATAGCAACAGCAACACCTGCTGAAATAGCAGTATTGATATTAGTTACCTTAGTTAAATCTTCCTTATAAATAACCAAAAATAAATTCCATTTCATATTTTCCAAAACAAAGTCCATTCTCTTCACAATATAATCAATTCCCATGCTGTTGATTTCAGTAGTTGTTGGTGTATTTGAAATTGTACCATATTTGCCTGCCAATTCTTTCATCAGCTTGCCAGAATTTCTCTCAGTCAGCTCGAACATTTTCACACGAGATTTGCTATCAGCTGCTGTGGTATTAATTGAACCACCAATAACAAAATCCGTAGTCTCTGACACTAACACATAACCTCTTCCCAATACTGTTACTTTCTTTAAATATTTTTCAATATTCAATAGTGAAACATTCACCTTTGAAATGCCAACTGTCTTTTTCACTCCCTTTGCTAATAAGGTTCTATTGTACAATTTAACAGAATAATAAATACATGCAGTAGAATTTACCACAACATAGGGGTCACCATACACAGCATCGGTTTTGTACAAGTCGAAATACTTGAAACTTGTGACCCAGTAGGCAAGTGATGGAATGACAAAGGGAACTGTCTGATTTTGAATCATGCCAATTAAGGAACCATCTGTTTCATTTGCATACCAATGTTCTACACCAATATATCCCTTTGGTTTGATGTAAATTGAGAAGCTCTGTGTTGGAACTCCTCCTGGAAAGATTGTCAAATTGAAATAGGTTGTAATTTGATCCGGAAAAAACAATCCAATTGCTGATGGGTAATAGATATTATTCTTATCGAATAAATAAGACAATGGAGGAACATTATCTACTAATCCATTATTGTAATCTGAAGCCATAACCTTGGCAAGTGAAGCAGCTGGACTAATTTCACCATTCAGGAAAACCTTAACCTTCTCACCAACCTTCTCAATGACATCCATCGAGAGAGCATCCAGGGCATTCAAAGAGCCCACATACGATGAAAGCCATGTGAAAATTGAAGTACAAATAACCAAGAGGCAAATTATGAGCGTGATGGAAATCTTCATTGAAAACAACCCAGAACATATTCTTTCCTTTCGTTGTTTAATTTTTGGAGAGTCAATATGTTCTTGTTGCACTTCTCCAGAGTGAATTGAACAAGCTGTTTGGTGATAAAGTTCCTATTGTTTCAAGAGAGAGAGAATGAGGCGAACATCAAAAAGGTGATACAGTGTGTGTGAAATGAGATGAGTATTACTACTACGGACACCAATACATACCAATGGATCGCTGTGAGGTGTTATTCTAGTCATGATGTAAAGTGCTTTTTGTTTAATCGAGTGGAATAACAGATGATTCTCTCAACAACTTCAAGAGCAACTGTACTCTGGTTTGTGGTGCTTCCACAACATGCCAACAGAACTGAAACAAGCCCATCTACAACAAGGAGACGTAAATAAGCGTTGTATTCGTAGAAGTAAAAAAGAAGCGAAATCTACTATTAAGGCACTCTTAATTGTTACTGCTTCAGTGAACATTTGTTTGGAACAGGATCCTGGGGCACCAAAGCTTGCAACTGTTCTCGAAACGATAACCACATTCAAACCACCACCCTTAAACTGTAAAGTTTTGCATCATGAATCGGCACAAGGTGCCCTTAAATTTGTACAATAGTGTATACTTTGCATGAATCGGCCCTTAAATTTGTATACTGTCAGGAATACAAAGGAGGTTGTTGGTGTTGAAATAATTACTAGCAAGAGTCTTATAGCCTGCTGAGAGAATTCAATTGCTTTCATAGAGTTGTATTGTGGAGCGCGCTTGTCAGCGTGTTGGTCGAAGTGGCAATTATTTACAGTATTATTGAAAAAAAGACTCCATGAAAGTCTTTGTCCTCGAATCATCGGGAAGGTATTCTCCTCTTGATTCATCATCATCAGTACGAGTATTTTCTAAAATTATTAATTGTCTTCTCTTCTCCTTAATAATAACAATACTAACAACAACAATAACACTACATCATCATCATTCAGTACTTGCAAGTGCTCCAAATTTACTCTTCCGAGGAGATGAAGCAAGACACATGTTGGGAATTAATTTAGGACCAATCGATTATGAAATGATTCAGTGGGTATTTACCAATAGATTTAAACATGCAAGAGAGTGGAGACCTGTTGGATCACTTGATGAATGGAAAACGTATTACTTTGAAGGAACCATCACAACAAATTGGTCACAAGATGGTTATCCTCTCGGATTTCAAAATAAATACAATAAGAGACGTTATGGCTATCAAACAGAATTGGGTACTTTGGGAAAGTATCCAACAGGTGATTATATTTTGACTTTTGAAGGAAGTGGAAACTTTTCAATTTTAGGAGATGCAACCAATGTTAGACAAGTCAATAGTCATAGATTTGAATTTTCAGTACAGAATACCTCTACTAAGGGTATAGTACTAATTGTAACAGAGCCTAATGTTTACAATGTTATTTTGAAGGAGGCAAGGGAGGAGAATGTAACCTCAACATTTTCCACAGACTTTCTCAGAGCTATTGAACCATTTTCAGTATTGAGATTCTCCTCATGGATGATTGGAAGGAGTTATGGAAATTCCATCACAAATTGTGATAAGGAATGGGCCGATAAAAGACCTGCTACTTTTTACACTCAACACGGACAAGCAATGGTTTCTATTGAATATATTGTAGAATTAGGAAATTATTTGGCTAAGGATATTTGGATTTCAATACCAAATGCATGCAGTAGTGATCATATTATGCATATTGCTTCCTATGTGAGAGATAATTTAAATACCTCTCTCACAATACATGTTGAACAATCAGCTGATAAGGGCTGGGGTGGAAATAATAGAAACTTGAACATTCAATTAATCAATACGTTCAAAGCAGTATTCGGTCTGAATGATACTCGATGCAAGTATATCCTCTCTACAATGATACCTGCCTATTACGACAGTGTATTATCACTCTATTCAAGTGATGACTTGAGCTTATTTGATGCTTTTGCAGTGAGTGGAAATGTTGGTACTGGTATAGAGTATTATGGAAATGGTTATGATGTCAACCTTTCAGTCAATTACACAGTAGATGATGTTCTCAATTTACTCAGACAAGAAATTTACAAGGACGAAATAGATTGGATCTATTTGTTAAATAGAGTTGCTTTCAAATTGAAAATTCCATTAATACTATACGATGCAGGCTTGAGAATTCATGCACCTGGTTGGGCAAATAGATGGAAAAAGACAGATCTAGCACCATTGGAACAAAGACTAGAGGATATTTCCATTGAGGCTCTCAGACAACCAATTGTTGAGGATATGGTTGTTGATGTAATGAAACGTTGGCATAGAATGGGAGGTGGATTAATGATTCTGAATAATATTGTGGAAAAGATAGATAGATGCTTGGGAGGAGGTGGTAGATGTGGCTATCAAGCAGTGATGGAAAGTCTTCTACAGGATCCACAAACTGTACCAAAATACCGAGCTGTGCTTACTTGGTTGGAAGGAGGAAATGGTAGTCTTCCATTCACATCAGACGATATTCCAAAACCTATTCGTTTACCATGTACTGATTGTAAGTATGGTGTTTGCCATAATGGATCATGCCACTGCTTTGATGGTTTTTCTGGAGCAAATTGTAACATAACAGTTCCAAAATATCAAGATTGTGCCTCCAATACAACCAAATTTGGCGTCAATATTGATGGTTTGGCAGATTGGTCTCGAGAAGTAACTTTCATAGATATTCAAAGAAGAGCCAGAAAGTGGATTGTCCAGAAATTTGTCTATGGTACTGGATGGGCAGAGGATGACCAAGAAAGTGTACCACTGGATGAAAATGGATATCCTCAATATTTGGAGATAACTAAAAATGTAGCAACTTTTGCAGTTCGTGATGTGGCAGCTCACTTCCCAAATGGAAAGTATATTTGCCTCTATGATGGTGATGGCGTTTTAGAATTCCAGTTTGAAGATCAGAAAATATTGAGAAGAGATGCAGGTAGAATTGAACTCCAATACAATCACAAGACTGAAATGAATAATGGTGTCTTTTACAAGATTTTGAGAACCAATCCATTGAATCCCATCAGAAATGTGAGAATATTTGAGGCTAAATATGAGCAAACCTATGAAGATTTCCCATTCCATCCTCTCTTTTTGGAACAATTGAAAAAGTACCAAATTATTAGATTTATGCCTTGGTCTAATATTGGTGTCGATAAAGACTATGATTGGGAGAATAGAACTCTCAATTCCTATTACACCTTCAGACTAAAAACAGGAGTAAGTATGGAAATGCAAGTGCTCTTGTGTAATATGCTTGGAAATAATCCATGGTTCAATTTACCTCACAGAGCCACTGATAGATATATTGAAAATTGGGCAACCTATGTGAGAGATTATCTCAGACCAGATGTTACTGCCTACATTGAAATTGGCAATGAATGTTGGGCCTCAGGTGCTTGTGGAAGTTACGCTCAACAAATGGGAGTTATTGAAGGAATGAAATTGACCAAACTTCAAAACTATTACAGTTCTTATGAAGTTGCTAGAATCTGTTATCACATCAAGACTGCCAAGAGATATGCAGATATTATCAGAGGAGTGTTTGGAGCATCACATCACAGGAGAATCAAATTGGTATTTGCTGCTCAAGCAGCTTGGACTGGCCCTTTGGAGATTTTCTACTTGTGCGAAGGAAATTACTATCAATCTTTCAATGTTGTGGCCATTGCTCCATATATGAGCGATAGTTTGAAGAAGGCAGATAATTCCCTGGTCAGTCTTGAGGAATTCTATGGATCTATTATTCATACAGCCATTGCAAGTTCCAGAAATGCTCTTTTAAGCACATACAAGATTGTAAATCAATCCTCTCCTGGAATGGAACTTGCTTTCTATGAAGGTGGACCAGATTTTTCATCTTTGACTGATACTGGTAATACAGAATTGACAGATTTATCAATGACCATTCACAGAGACCCAAGAATGAAACAAGCCCTTACATACTACCTCTCCAACATAACTAATATTGCACCAGGAGTTAAACTAAGTGCCTACAATCATTTTACATCCACATCTGTCTTTTCCAAGTACGGATGTTGGGGATTGATTGAATCATCAGATTCTGACTTATCATCCTCATCTTCTCCAAAATATGTTGCCTATCAAAACTATATAGATTCAATGAGTGTTTGTAATTGGAATGAAAAGCCATCCACTTGTAAAGATAACTGCAATAATCATGGTGTTTGTGCTGCAAATGCCTTGTCAGATTCCAGAGACTCTTGCCACTGTTTCTTTGGCTACAATGGAACCAATTGTGAGATAATCAATTATATTAACAGTTACAGATGCACATATCAATGTGGAGGAAAAGGTAATTGTCTTTTCAATCATACAGAAGGATTTTATGCAGTCTATACATGTCACTGCCAAACTGGATATTACGGCTATGGATGCACCTTATTTACTTGTGATTCAAAATGTAACTATAATGGAAACTGTATTGATTATAACAAGTGTAGTTGTTATAGAGGTTTTACAGGAAGTGATTGTTCCATTGATTGTAATTGTAATGGAGTTGGTTATTGTGCTACCAATTCCACAAACTGTGTCTGTGATTACGGCTACTCATTTGTGAATGGAAAATGTGAAATCGATTGTAAGAAATATCCAACAAGTAGAGCCTGTTTGAAGTGTCCTTCTCTGGGATGTGCAAATGGTATTTGCCTTAACAGTACTTGTGCATGTCATAGTGGATATAGAATGGACTCACGAAGTAGCTGTACCATCAAGGCAAATTCACCAAATGATGGATCAAAACTTGGTGTGAATGTGAATAGCGTTGTAGATTATTCTCCTCAATGGACCTTTGTTGATTTGATGAAACAAGCCAGGGCTTGGATTCTCCAAGATTTGGAAGGAATGAATAGCATATATATTTGGAGTTATAATAATGAAATCAAACTAAGATCAGATGGCTATCCAGCTAGTATTGCACAAGGAAAGCAATTAGTAACTCTAATGTTGAGAGATATCCAACAGAAATGGCCAGGAGGAATCTACCATGTTTTCTATGAAGGAAATGGTCAATTAGACTTTGGATTCGATTCTACAATTATTGAGAATAACCAGAAAGGATATATGAAAATTAAAGTCACACTTTCCCTTGTTCGTGACAATGGTGTCTTTATGAAAATTAAAGAAACCAATCCAAATAATCCTATCAGAAATATAAGAATTGTAATGGATGGTTTTGAAAATACCTATCAAGATAATCCATTCCATCCACTCTTTTTAAAGAGATTGGAAAATTTCAAGACCATTAGATTCATGCCATGGACTATGGAAAAAGGAATTATTACATGGGAAGATAGAATTACACCATCTACTTTACCAATGGGAAGAGGTGTTGCTCACGAATACATGATTCAATTATGTAATATTCTCAAAGCTAATCCGTGGTTTACAATTCCTTATGGTGCCAACGATGAATATATCAGACAATTTGCCCTCCTAGCTAAACAAACTCTGAGAAATGATGTACAAATTTATCTTGAATACACCAACGAAGCATGGAATACACTCTTTGATAGTGGTAAATATTGTGAAGAGCAAGGAAAATTATTGGGATTATCTAAAGACTCCTTGGCAGCAAGAAACTTGTTCTATTCAAAACGTTCTAAAGAAATTATTACTATTTGGAAGAGTGTATTCGGTAGTGAAAGCAATAGATTGACTCTTGTTGCAGCTTCCTTTACTCTTATGCCGATAACTTCTACTAGAATATTATCTTATCAAGATCTTTACAAATCTCATTCCAATATTATGCTAACAGTGACAGGTTATTTCGGATGTGGCTTGGAATCTTCAGGAACTTTGGTTGCCATTTCCGATTTGAATACACTTTTCAAAAAGTGTGATGATGAATTTGCTTCCACTAAATCAATGCTTGAACAGCAGCTTCAAGTTGCAAAATCCTATAATATTACACTAGGAATGTATGAAAGTGGTAGTTCTGTAGCTGAATATTCGGCCATTGCCAGTGGATATGAAACCTCAGGAGCCACAGATAAGTATATTGCCATGAATAGAGATATCAAAATGTATGATATTTACAAAAAGTACTACAGAATGTATGCTAATTTGAGCTTGGTTGAAAATTGTCACTATGCAAATGTTGGCTTCCCTTCAAAATATGGTTCTTGGCATTTGTTGGAATATCAATATCAAGATGTTTCTGAAGCACATCGTTTTAGAGCTATTCAAGAACTTATTGTAGAAACCAGAGGACCAATAACTAGAGTCACTGATCATTCTTGTTTTGGAATTGTGTACAACTCGACGAAATCTTGTTCAGGTAATGGAATTTGTGTAAATCAAAACAATTGTCAATGTGATAGTGGTTATACAAATGAGGATTGTAGTTTCTATCTGGAAGGTCAGACGAAAGCGTACGCATCTGAGAATAATTTCACAATTAGTCCAACAAGCGGCTTTGCTCTCACACAAACATTTACACTCTCCTCTAAACCATGGTTGGCCTCTTCAAAGATATCACCACTTCAATATGCATTCGGATTTGTGAATAGTAAGGACGAAAATATTGTCTTGACAAAATATTCTCAGTATCCAAACGCCACTACAATACTGCCCTTCACCAAGCAATCCTCAATTCCATTAGTGATGTTTGTAAAAGATTCCACTGGAAATGTCAACACGCTGAGAGGTGGAAGTGTTATTATTAGTGCATTCTCTGGTACAAGTCAAGAGCTTTCTACAAGAATCAGCTCATTGTCAAGTGAAGAAAAGATTGTTGCCTTCTACGATGAATCAAGTTCATCACTTGTTAGTACACAATTAGTGAATACTCTTTCCATTGACACCAATAATTCTCAACAAGTTTTAAAGATATTTGAAACTGTTACTTCATCACCAACTGTTGACAAGACAGCTCTGGAAAGTGTCTCTACCAAGCTTGACTCATTCCTCACAGACATGTCCCAAAAGTTACAAAATGGTTCAACCCAAGTCAAACTTTCCACTGAAGAAACACAATCTACTGTCAGTATCATTTCTAATATTTATGAATATGGTTCAGAAAGTAAGGCCGAAAGTTTAATTTCTAACATTGCTTCTGTCCTTGTAATGAGCATCAATCCAGTGGAAACCAACACATCAGCTTTGACAAGTCTCCATATTCAATCTTCATCTTTTAACATTTCTGTTTCATCATTTAACATATCAAGTGTGTTAAAATCATCAGGAGGAACAACCTTTGTCTATGATGACATTTCCACTGACATTTCTTCCATTTATAAGGATTCTTCATCAATGGCAGCCATCAGTCTTGTTAAATATTCCTACAAGACATCATCAAGACGTAGAGCTATGACAAATCTTGTTTCTGACCAGGTGGACCTCAAGTTTTACAGTTCTGGACAAGCTCTAGCATTAACCAATCTTACAAAACCAATTCAACTAAAATTCACATTGAAGGTTTTGGTTAGTAAATCAGCCATGCAAAAACAACTTGTATGTAAATATTATGATGAACAAAAATTGATGTGGAGTTCATCAGGATGTAAACTAGCAAGTATCGATTATGACAATTCTGTTGTTACGTGTGCCTGTGATCATACAACTAAATTTGCTGTTGATTTGACTGCAGAGACAACTCCACAATCAAGTACTAATCCACCAGTGAGTACATCTCCAAAGAAGCACACAAGTTTAATTGGTGGTGGCAATAGGTTGTTTGCTGTGAATTTCTTGTTATTGGCATTGGTTGTTGTGATGACGAGTTTATTTTTTTGATTGGATGACATGTGAAATTTTGTGAAAATATTTTATTTTTTCATTCTAATAAAAAATCCAACATGAAGCTATCATCACTTCTTTGCTAAGAGAGTAGCAATGCTTGCATCAATACTTCCTTTTGATCCTCCTTCATGTCGTTTAACTTCTTTCTGCTTGTAGTAATAGACAATTGTTGGCATTGCTCTCACTTTACCTCTTTGGGCCAAAGTTGGAAATTTATCTACATCAATCTTTACAATCTTTACAGTAGGGTAATCCATTGACAATTGAGCCATTGCTGGAGCAAGCATCATACAAGGCCCACACCATGTTGCATAGTAATCTACAACAACAATAGGATTTTTGGCAATTATTTGATCGAATTGACTTTCCTTGCTGAGGTCTATTGTGTTTCCATGATCCTCTGATTTCTTTGGGTTATCCTCAAACACTTTCCTATAGTCTACAATGACTGGATCGTTCATGTATTTCATGTGATTTTGCAGGAAGAACGATCCAACCTTTTCCAATTCATCCAAGTTTTTGCATGGCTTATTCAATATCACTAGCGATGAAACTACACCTCGTAAACAGGAACCACTTGCCATGTTCATGAATCCAAGAGAGTTATCATCAAATGGTTCAATTCTATCAGAGAATTTGAAACCAGTTAGTGGAATGCTATTCTTTTTATCATTAATTATAAGAAGAACTTCCATCTTATTCTTAATGACATTGTTAAGTTTACAGATATCATTTGGAGATTTAGGCACGTCCAAATTTAATGAAACGAAAATGTCATTCCAATCGTCGAATTTGATTCCTTCGACAGAGTAATGATTTTGTTGATTTGAGAGACCAAGACTGCTTGGTGTGAGAACAAACCATCTATTGAGTTTGAAATTTAGAGAATAATAATATATAATATATTATTGAATAGCTACATACCTATAGGATGGTCCAAATGCAAATATTACATTTGAACTAGACGCCACATAAACTCTGATAAAGAGACTCCAGACAGTTTTGCTAAAGTAGGCACTCTTCATTTCTACAATCACATCTCCTCCCTCATGATCACCATCAAATTGAATACCCCATTGATCACAAATTGCCTTCTCCTTATATCTATTCTTGTCAATACTTGACCTGCATTGTTCGACAATAGTGCTCAACACATTATGCTTTGTGTAGAGTGAATGATTTGGATGGGATGGATTTGCAATTCTCATATCATAGTTAATATTTATATCAGCTGAAACGCTCTCAAGCCATTCAGATGGCTTTTCAAGGATGATATCAGAGGTCTTGTTTGCGATTGGAATTGGATTTGTGGATGTAATAATCTTCTTAATAGGGTTATCTTCCTTTTTGATTAGCTTTGTTTCAAATTCATTATTATCACTCTCTACATTCTCTCTTGTTGGAGGTTCATCAACACCAACCAACTTTTCAAATTCGTCTAACTTTTTTTTCAAAACATCAAGCTTGGTTGTTTCATCAACATCAATACGTCCAAATATGTGTCCATTCTTGTAGAATATAAAGCCTTCAGTTTTGAATTTAAAAGTGTTTCTGAGATCATAGTTTCCATTGCCAACATCAATCCTCCCACACTTGATTGGGCTGTCACTTCCAACTCGAGTAAAAAACTCCACAAAATGATTAATGAAAGGAAAAACAAATTGACGTCGTTGATACATTGAAAAACTCTCAAAAAAGAAGAAGATAATCATATGGTTCTTTTCAATAATCGACTGAAAGTGAGCATTTCCTTTCAAAATTTGAATGCAATCTTTTGGTAATGTTTTTGGCATTGGGATTTGATCCATTAGAATTGGAGGACCATTTGGCTTGTTGTGGAGATGCGTTAGGGTTGAACTTATTCCCTTTAGCTCATTAAGTGTTGAGCATGGTCTGTTGAGTAATATAATTGATGAAACAGTTCCTCTCAAAGAACCACCATTACTCATGTTCAAGAATCCAATGCATTTTTCGTGTTTCATTCCAAATTCATCTTCAGGCCCTTTAAGTGTTGCTCCTGAAGGAAGTCCAAATATGTTTTCCACACCATTTACCAGCATCAAAATTTCTTTCTTTCCCTTAATGATTTTATCAATTTGACAGTTATCAAATGATTGTTTTTCCTGATCGAAATTGAAGGAGATTGAAATTTCATTCCATTGGTTAAGTTTGATACCATTAAGTTTACCTAAAAAGGTGTCACCTTGATTGAGTTGAACGTAGGTAGGGCTAAGGACAAACCATCTGTGAGGGTTGGATAATGAAAGATTCAATGTAATTTCACTTACCTGTACCACGGCCCAAATGAAAACAAACAAGATGATTTTTCATCAACATAAGCTCTCATTATTAATGTCCAGGAGAAGAAGCTAAACTTTTCCGATTGCATCACAAAATGAACATTATGTCCTGTAGTATAATGGCCATCTAATTGAATTCCACTCTTGTCACAAGGAGCCATCTTTCTCTCTCCATCATCAATAGAATATGGAAGACAGTCATCCATGTCCTTTATAAATGTTTCATCTTTGCTTTTAAGAAATTGATGATTGGGATGTTTAATATTTGTAAATGGAATAGAGTGATCCAAATTAATATCCATCAATAGGGAATGTAACCAATCTGCAGTTAATTCAAATTGTGGTATTTTAGCTGTAGTGGATGGTTGTTTTTCAGTTGTTGTTTTACCAGCCACTGTTGGTTTTTTAGCTCCCAATTTGCTTGAAACAGAACTTGTTGATGTCGTTCTTTTTGTTGGTGATATATTTCTCGTCTTTTGAGAGGTTGTACTACTTGTTGATATAACTCCGGAATACTTTGTTGATGATATTGGCTTCTTTACTGATGTTGTTGTTGTGGATGATGGTTTTGTTGCTATTGTTGATGAAGTTGATGAATTTTTCTTTAAGGGGTGTGCCACGGATGAAACCTTTGAGGAAGAAGTTGTTGATTGCTTGGTAATACTATTTGATGCTGTGGAAGATATTGGTGCCTTATTCGTTGTTGTTGAACTTTTCATTTTTTAATAATTGGTTTATTGAATAACTGTTGCTTGAGTACTGTAGATTTTCATGCAAAAAAATTACAACAATACGGGAAGACGCAACATCATCAGAGGAAAGAATTATGATTTTAATAGATTAAATTGGTTGTTTCTTGTGTCCTTGTAAATGATGGATTTGGAGGCAATTTCTTTTTTCTACCTAACAGCTAAGGCCTAAGCAGGAACATAAAATAGACTGTTTAATTTATCCACTCCTCCAAACACCTCCTAAAAAACAAAGCAACTTCAACAACAGCACTTTCTTCTGAAATGTTAGTGGAAGTAATTGAGATTTTACTCCCTTTGATTTTTGATAGGTTAATACCGAGCAACATTGTAACTTTTCCACTGCAGAATGATTCTGACTCATTGCTATTGTTTCTTGATGTTATGGAAACCAACTCTTCAACGAATAGTAGTTATTCTTCAATATGCGATCCTAGATTGTTTAAATTGGGAGATTTGAGTAGAGAGGGATATAACGCAACTGTGGTGAACAATATTTGTCCAGATAGTATTTTCACACCAATATTTTCTGGTATTTTCATATTTGTCTATCTCCTATTTGTTGGTTTTGGGATTATTGGTGTTATTTGGAAGAGAAATTCAAGCTATGTGAAGGCAAGAAATCCCCTTTACTTGATTCTAACGATCATTGCAAGTTTATTCTTTGTAATGACCACATGTTTGAGATACGCTATTGGAAGAAAGCTCATGCCATGTTTTTTGTATACCATCTCTTTTTTTGTAATTGCACCTGCAATTTGCCTACCGACAGTGTTTAGGTGCATTAGAATTTATTTTATGTACAAGCTCAATTTGGAAAAGTCTAAGGTCTTTGACCAAAAAGCAAACTCTTCAACAAGAGACAAGTCTAAAAAATCGAGTAAGATTAATGACCCCAAACACAAATTCTCATCTACATCAACAATACCAACTGTTGGCTCCTCTCTCTCTTTGGTGGATAAGAAAGCAGTTTCATTTGATGAAAAAAGCTCAGGAACTACGGACGAACAAAATACAACAGCTATCAACTTGGAATTGACACCTCCTGAAGACTCTTCAATTATAGCTGAAATTAAGGACATGAGAAGAGATGATTCTGAAAACGATTCTCAAACTTGGATTACCTCGGCTGAGGACGATTTCACAGACTCAATTCTAGATGAAAGAAAATTCAAAATATTTTCCTTTCTAGTGAGCTACAAGTTTATTGGAATAGTTTATATTATTGCGTTTTTCATTCATCTTGCTATTTGGGCAATACTTGGAGGAGCAGATGAAGCATCATTTTCTTCAAGTGGAAAGAGAATGTTCATTTGGAATGTAAGCATGTTTGCTTTTGATTCAGGATGCGTCACTACGAGTAATACTATTTTCATACTTGCTGGAGAGGCTGCTTTTTACATTATTATTGAAATTGCATTTGCTATTTTGCTATTTTTTGCTGATAGAGATACTTGGTTGATTAAGAGAGAAACAATCCTTCTAATTATCATTCAAATCATCCAAGCCATAGCTTATCTAGTGAGTGGACAAATTGAAATTGTGAGATTCTTAACTGACTACTTCATTCCGTTCGGTTTTACTTTATTGATTTATTCTTTAATTGAAATATTCATATCAGTAGATATGGCTGTTCTATACTCAATTTACCACGATTGGCAACATCAACACTCATACGCAGAAACAGAAATTGAAATGCTGCTCAAGAATAGAAAGACGTTCGTTATTATACTTGATTTTGCAAGAAGAAGTTATTGCACTGAGGACATTCTTGCATTCAGAGATATTGAAAAATTCAAAATAATGCCAAAACGTCACAAAACGAAGGTTGCCTCTAGAATACTAAATACCTATCTCAAAACAGGAAGCTCACTCGAATTGAACATCTCTAACATTAGACAACGTTATGAATCTATTGAACTTGTATTGAATCAATCTAACGATCCTTCCCTTATTCCCAACACTCTCTTTGATGAAATTAAATTCCAATGCATGCAAAATATGATTGATGTAGTGGAACGTTTGAAAATTAGTAACAAGTCTATTCAAGAAACCATCAGCAACTGGAAAAGAACAATGCAAGAACAGGAGGAACAGTGAATTTGATGAATTCATCACATTTTAAAAAATGTCATCACACTTTGCCAATCTTCCTCCCGAGTTGCTTCATCACATTGTTGAGTACATCATCAATACTGCACAACCTTCTGTGAGACTGGAAGCCAACATTAAAAACTTGTGTAATTTAGAATTAATTTCCAAACAATTCATGCTTCGTTCTTTTTTGGAAAAGTATTGGTCAATTATCTTGTATTCATATATTCACGTACGTTCCGAAATAAAGGATGGAAAGGAAATAGTCAGTCCAGTTTGTCAGTGGAATCACTGGCATAAAAAGGAAGAAACTATAAAGAAATTATCCAAAAAGTCCTACAAGAGAATGTTTGCTATTTTGCATGAAGCTGAAAGGAGAAGGAAAGAAAAGGAGCCACATCATAAAGCCAATGAAAATAAGTTCAAGCTTTGCATTACTGGTCCTGGTGGTTCTGGAATTCATTGCTTCATCTATAGATACTTGTACGATCGATTTATTGCTGAATATGATCATCCAATTGATGAAACATTTCGTAGGAATATTCATTTCAATCAAAGACAGTTGAAATTGGAAATTTGGGATAGTGGTTTTAGGCATGATTATTATTTATATGATCAAGGTTAGTTAGTAGGGCGTAAATATTTATTTAATTGACCTTTGGTTTCGATTTGATTTCGGATTAATTAGCAAAACTTAAAGGAGCAAGAGGATACATTGTTTTGTTTGCTGTGAATAGCCATACAACATATTTCGATGTTTTTGATAGAGTAATCAGATCAATAGTTAATATTAATGATGATGAATCCGTTCCAATAACTGTTTGCATCAGTCAGATCGATCGTTTGAAATCTGATTCTACACTAAATATGCAACAAGTCAAGGGAAAAGTTATTGAAATTTTGACAAGTTATGATTGTTCGGATTATGAAATATTTGAAACAAGCAGTAAGGAAAATATTAATATTGAAACTGTAGTCGATAGAACTATCGAGAAAGGATACTTTTTCAATGGATCTGAATATACCAAAAGGAGAGAATTATTAGAAAAGGTAGTCAAAAAAGATACCAAAGTATTCCAATCTGATGGTGGATGTTTATTATCTTGATTGCATTGGAACATACTTCATTAATACTCGGACTTGGAATAAGCAGTGAAAGTTTACAGATTAATTTGGAAGATACATTCTCAAAGACATGATTAATCAATTGGAACCTATGAGAAATGAGGAAATTACCAAACCTCAACCTTTCGTAGGTTATGGACGAAACATAAATCGAGCAATTATTGGACTAGGTGAAGGATCTATTGGAATTACATGGGACTGATGGCAGTTCAAGATTGCACATGAGTTGCAAGAATAATCGTCATCATGATCATTTATTCCACATGGTAAAATGTTTAATATGGGAATTATGTTTCAAGCAACTTTTGGAGGAAATTGGAGAATTGAATATCATGATGTTACTGAAATATTTGTGTGTAGTGGATGTCAACCTTATATTTCTAATCAAACTTGTGGTGTATTCAATAACTTGTGGACTCATGTTGTATGAAAAATCAAGGATAACTAATAAATAGAAACATAACAAGAATTAAACTATCTCATTAATTTATTGTTTTTAGAATGTCTTTTGCTGCTGGTCTCTTGTTAGTGTCTTTTTCTAACATTGATAACACAATTTCAATCAATTTTGAAGAATAAACAGCCGGTTCATTCATCATGTTCTTCAAATACTCTTTCACTTCTGCAGAATCCATTGTTAAATAAAGATGACTTATGGAAGTTTGTGAATCCTTAGTCATTATTTGATAAATTGTAACACCTAATGAATAAATATCAGTATTGTAAGAATATTTAGCACCTAAACCAGTCCATTCAGGACTCATATAAAGAGGAGTGCCAGCGTATGAGTTATTGATTGATCCTTGAGTTTGTTTGGCAAGACCAAAATCTGCTAAAATTACATGAATATTTTCATTAACCTCATATGATTTGATGAAAATAAATATTACTTGGTTTTACATCTCTGTGAATAATTTTCAATTCAGAGTGAACATAATCTAATGCCTTACAAGATTGTTCCAATATTTGGAAAATAACCTTTTCTGCAACATTAGAAGTTTGTTTGTAAATGAGTTTACATAAATCTCCATTTTCATAATTAGACGGTGGTCAGTGATGTAAAATGCCGGGTCAGGGAGTAAAAATTTCAAAGTCGAGCCAGAGGCATTTTATGTAGAACTTGCGAAATTTCCAAGTCGAGCCGGGTCAGGCTAAAAAATTTACAAGTCAAGCCGGGTCAGACAAAAATTTTTACAAGTCGAGCCGGGTCAGACAAAAAAATTTCAAAGTCGAGCCACAGAAGATCCGTTGCTTTGACATTTGGTTGTAAAAACCGTTAAATTAAAATTTAAAAAAATTAAGAGATTTTGTCTACTGGCCACAATGTCCAATCACAAGCTGGTATTTGGAAGCAACTGAACAACATGGCAGTTGGCTAGAATATATATACAACAACCCATCATCAGGAAATTTCTTTGACTGGAATCTTCTTCTTACATCTAAATCTCCAACAACAAAGAAACCAAGAAATTGGCAACAAAAAGAGGAAATCCTGTTGATGATGAAATACCAACCATCAAACCATAAACTCCAAAAGCTTTCCAAGAATTTACCAAGACGATACTACCAGCGGATCAGAATATGAGGAAGATGATGCATCAGAATCCACAAAGTGGAAGTGATGAATAAAGTGGCGACGAAATATCATCAGAAGAATAAATAATATTAAAATATTTATAAAATTGGCTCGACTCTAAAAAATTTGGTTGGAACAACGAATACAGGGTACTGCCCACCGTCTATTCATAATAATCCATATCAATATATAATAATTGATTATTTCCAACAAATAAATCATTCACTCTTAAAATATTTGAGTGTGAAATGTTCATCAGTTGCATTCCTTCTTTCATCATTAAATTCAAATCTTCATTGTTGGAATATTTAAGTGCTTTAACTGCTCTTGTTATTCCAGATTTCAAATCTTTTGCTTTGCACACACTTCCGAATGCACCTTGACCAATTCTTTCTTGAATTTCATAATTTTGAATTGGATCTGAATAACTAGATGATCCAGTTGATGCATTTAAAGAGGATTCACGTAAACTGTTAATTGGTTTGAATTTTGTACTTTCCTCTGATGGGAAATCTTCAGTTGAACCTTCATAACTTCCAGGAATGTGTGTCTTTTTAATATCTGTTAAAGGGTTTGGATATTAATCTGCGCTCTTAAAACATCATTATTTATAAGACTTCATATACATCGATATATATCATTAGATAGGAAATGTTCACGGCTACATGCTGATATATAATTTTAATATTGGTTGCTATCAAATAATGGAGATAATCAACTCGTTTTACCTCGATATTTCTGTGTTTTTTGTTCTCTTGGGGGGGCTTGCTATATACGCAACCATTTGGCAAACGGTGAAAAATCGCATAGGTTCAACTTAATTCTCTACAAAATGACGTTGGGATATTTGCATTTAATTCAGTAATTGTTGAGCATTTTGTATTTGAATTGGTGTTAAACTTGTTAATTTTCTATTGCTTAATAGCTGTGTTGAACAAGTGTGAAACTACCTTTAATTGCGGTGCGCACTTATTCCGATATCATTAAGATCATTAAGGAACAAGTAAATAATATTTATTAATATTATTTAGAAGGTAGTGGTAATGTTTCTCACTCCACAAGTTATTTGCTTGTTGGCAATGCTAATAGCCATGGATTTGAAGCCATTATTTTGATAATCGCATTAATCAACTCCATTTTTAACCCTTTAAAATATTACGATTATCAAAATACAACGCTAAATAACTCTGCTTCCAAAACTATTCCGATGTATGAATCTATTTATCAACAAGATCATCAGGATAATCTTCAATGATATTATAATTTAAGTAGATTGGTGGAGGTACCATCTCTTGATCATCAAGTTGAATCTTCCCCTCATCATTTGGTGAGGGAGCAACTTCTCCCTTCCATATCGTTTAATAAATTATTGTTATTATCATATAATGATACAATTCTTGTTGTTATTTGTTGTTAATTGTTGTTCTTAATAGAAACCGACAATTTTCCCTTAATAGTCATACAACCCCTTGGTTATTCATACGAATCATTTCTAGAAATTAAAGCTTTAGCACTGTTGGTTCAGTGGTTGTATGTTGGAGTGTCAATTAAGTGACGAGTGATCGATTCAAGGTCATTTTACTAACTTATTCAATTTTACCACCTTATTTTTTTAGATCTTCCTTAATACTTGACAATTTTAAAAGATATTGATACCACATATACAATACTATGTATAAACAACTGTATGTCATTTTAAATTGATTTAGTCAACTATTCATTGAGAAAGAGTATGATCTGTGACATGATGTGTTGACAACTTTACAAATATTAATTTAAACGATATAGTTATTTAGAAGAGTCCTATTAATTTGTAATAAATATACTATATTTCAATTTTCAATTGTTGAATTGATGTACTTAATTGACTTGTCTATTCTAAGGTTACTTAGTTTACTTGAAGATACTGAGCCATGAATATGAAACTTTCTCAAATTGTTCTCCTCATCAAGAGGAGTCTATTCATATTTGATACTAGTATGATATTTTGTAAACTGACTGAGATGGAGTGTAATCTTTTTATTGAAATGTGTCATTTTGAAAGATTGTTATTATTATCATACTGAATTCAATTCTAACTGTATGAAATTGATACCAGATGTATAATAGAGTGATTAAAGGTATATGGTAAAGTTACAGGATGATTGGATGTACTTTCACTGATATGGAGTGTTCACTAGGATATATAAAGTGTTGAGATTGAACATTTACTGATTAATTTTATGAAAGTAGTTTGAAATGTTTCTAAACTATTGTAGATGTATTTAATTGATGTATAGGCTATGTGGTATTAATTCTAGACTGATTATATGTAAAATGAGTGAGTTGGAGCATAATCTATGATATCATGTCAAATGTCTATAGTAAATTGATAGAGTTGACATGTCGACATCTACTGAACCAATATTCATGAAATTGATATCATATTCTAATTAGAGCGTCTACATGTAATGATATTGATTTAAGTGAAAATGGAGTTGTTTCTGTACCTTTCAGATTTCCATCCATTCCATTGAAATATCACCATGTACTATCTAACGGATGCATTTATTGAAATGAAAATATATAATTTGAAGAAAGTCCACTTTATTTGAGATGTGGAACACGATATTATCATTTATTTTGAGATTGGTAACTTTTCCTATAGTCTCATCCTTAATTGTCTTAATTGACTAAAAGAGGTCAAGGAGAGATTTCAAAACATAAAATAAATGATATTTTCGAGATGTACTATTGATTTCCAATCGATTGATATGTATTTTGTAGATTGAGGATTTGGTTCTCTATATTCAAGATTTCCTCCTGATCTTCCAAAGACAACCTTGAAATTTCACCCTTTGCCTTATTGAAAGATAGAATGTTCACCAAACTGTCTGAAAATTGAACCATATACATTAGTAGAGATGTATAACATGATGGTAAAGTTTCATAAAGTGGTCATTTTCCAGAAATTCATCCGTGTCCATAGTTTATCAGATGGCATGTTAGAGTTGAAATCGTGAATATAAAAGTTAAAATAAACTTGATATTCTATCTCTACTCATCGAATGGAGCATTTTCATGTATATATTGTTGGTTGAAGTGATGTATTTGATAGAGTTGGTCTGACTTGTCTTTCTCTAAAGTCAACCAAAAAATATCAACATTTACCTTCCCATGATACCATTTCTGATTATTAGGACATGAAATTGAATTCTATATCATTATAGATCATGTACATCATTTTGGTAAAGTTTCAATAGGTGGTCCTTTTTCAAGATTTCATCCTGTTCATCATAGTTGACCGTATGATGGTTGAGGGAAGAAATCTGTAAATATGAAAGTTAAAATAAATTTGATATTCGACGTATACTCATCAAATGGAACATTTTCATATTAGGATTCAATATGTTTTGATGAGAAACTCAAAAGTTATAGTTGACCTCTTGTACCTCACAACTTCCCTTTTCCCTCTATACTTTTATATCTACAGACTTGAACTTTTGAAATTTTATATGAAAGTGATTATAAATGTTGTTAATGATGATATATACTATATAATCTCATTAAAGGATTTTGAAATTATCATTCTTCCTATGGTTTCATTTTAGAAATTTTAATCTGACATTATTTACAAAGTGGGTTGGGTTTGGTTAGGATTCAGAGTTGATTTATTTGGGTTATTTAAGAGATTACTTAGTGAAGATTCATATCATTGATTATATTTCTTATCATCTATTAATGATGTAAATTTGATGGTTTCATTTCTTGTATTGATAGATATTTAAAGGTCAGGTCAGTACTAACTTGTGAATTATGGACTTTTAGAAGTCAAATGTTTGGGACGTGAATCTACTCGTTAGATTGAATAGGTATTGCTAATAAAGGAACATTTCATTGATTTATTGATTATAAC